TTCCTTAAATTAAGAAATATTTTTTAGTTAAACTTATTAATAAGGTAAGAAAGGCTATTAAATAAAAAAGCTAAGGGCAACTTAAATACTATAATATTATTAAATATTAAGCTAAATTAACTTATAAAGTAAGAAAGATTATTAAATAAGAAAATTAATATTAGCTTAGCTATTATAACTTTATTATATTAATATAATATATAAATTACTTAAAGAATTACTGCTTAAATATAAATAATTTATTATAAATTTATAATAAATTAATATACTTAATTACCCCTTTTATTAATTTACTTTATTTATTTATAAATATATAATATATTTCCTTAACTTTTCTTAATATTATTTATTATTAAACCTAAATAATTATCTTATTTATAAATTATTTATGTATTATTTTAAAAGCTATTATTAATTTTATTATATAATAATATTTATTATTTTTAATAATTTAATATTATTATAATTATAAACTTATTAAGATTAATAATCTTATTATATTAAACTTTTATATAATTTTATACTTAATAAATTAAGACCTTAATATAATATATTTATAATAAAATTATATATTAAAGTATTATTACCTTATAATTAAGCTATATAAAGTTAATAAGTTATTAATAACAAGCTATTATTAAGTTACATACTTATATAATAAAGAAATATATATATTTCTTTATATATATATTATTATAAACCGTTATAATAATTTACTTACTTATTATTAAGGTAATTATAATACTTTTTAATAAACTCTTTATAAAAAAAGATATAATAGCTTTTTTAATTATAATATTAAATATAATATTTTTATTCCTTATAACTTTTTACTTAACCTTTTTATTAAGCATTTTATTATTAAAATGCAAGCTAAGTTTATAATTAATTAATATTTTATTTTATATTAAATTAATTATAATTACCTATTTTATTATAATTAAAATCTTTATAATGCTATATAAAAAGATAAATTAATATTAAAGGATTTAAAATTAATAAAGAAAGATAAGTAAAAGCATATAATTAACTTCCTTACCTTTAATTAATATATAAACTCATTAAGCTTATACTTATATAGCCTTTTTTTAATAATTAATATTAAGGTATTTTAAGAAATTATTAATTTAATATACCTTTTAAGAATTAAGCTTGCAATTTATATAATTAATTTATTTATTAAAATAAAAAGGTTTTAATTATTATTAAAAAAGTTATTATTATAATTTTCATTGCTATTACCCTTATTTATATAATAAAAAACCTAGGTATATACTTAGCTAAGTAAATTATAAGCATTAAAATAAATAAGGCTGTTATTTTAACTTTAATTATTAAGGTTAATTAAATCTTTAATAAAGCTTAAAAGCCTTAGTTTTTTATTAATATTTTTTATTACCTTAACCTTAACCTTAACTTAGCTACTTTTAATTATAAGCATAAACTAATTATTAGCCTTCTTAATAATAATAAGAAAAATGCTAAGCTTATATACTTAACTACCTTTAAGTTTAATTATAATAATTTATTTATTTTACTTATAAAGAAAAAGGTTAATGTTACTTAATTTAAAAAGGTTAATTTAATTATTATTATTACTTTTTTAAAAATAAAGAATTTTTATATAAATATTATTATATTTATAAATAAGTTTAATAAAATTACTAACCTTAAGTTTAACTTATATTACTTTATTATTATTAACTTAATTAATAATTATTTTATTTAATATAATAATATGCTTAATATTAAAGAATAACATATTATTATTATCTTTATTTATAATAAGTATATTATAATAATCTTAATCTTATATATTCTTTTTATTAAGTTATATAAAGTTATTAATATTTTATAATCTTTTAACTTAAATAATAAAATTAATTATATTTTAATTAGCTTTATTTTATATAATTTACTATATATAAATTATAACTTTAACATAATTAAGATTTATTATATTAATAAAAATAAAATTAATTAAGTTAATATTACTTATATTTAAAAAATTAAGTATAATAAGTTTTTAATTATTATTAATTAAAATATTATATATTATTATATAGCTAGCTTAGTTAATTATATTAAAATCCATAGCATAGTAAAGTACTATATATTAATTAATAATAAGGTTAATTTAATAGCTAATAACATTAATAATAAAGTAATAAATGCAATTTAAAAAGCTATAAGCAACTCTTATATTAATAGCAATGTTATTAATATTAATTAAATAATATATAATATAATAGCTTTTATAGCTATATAATTATACTTATATTTTACTAAGAAAATATATAAGCTTTATAAGCTTAAATAATATACATTAAATAAAAAGGAAATGGCTATAAGGTATTTTAGCTTTATTTTATTAATTCTTTATAAATAAGAAAAGTTATTTTAAAAGTTCTTTTTAATAATTAACATGCCTATTATTAAATAAATTAATAATTTTATAATAATGTAAATATATTTTTATAAAAAAGGAGGCGCATTAATAATAATAATATTTATATAATTACTTAACCAGCCCATGGATATATAATTATATTAATTATATCATTAATTTAAGTCCTTAAGCTATGCTTTATAACTTTATAATAAATTTATAATTATATATTAAAATTTATAAACTTTTGCTATTTATATAAATTAAACTTAAAACCTTATTGCTTTTTAATATTGCTTATTATATAATAACACTTTTTATATGCATTTTAAAATAAATTAATTTGCAATTATTTACTTTTATAGGTTTGCTTTATATAATTTGCATTATTATTTATTAAATATAATAAAAATAAATTAAGTTTCGTTAATACATTAAGTTAAAGTATATATTATTATTTACTTAAAGATAATAATTAGCTTATAGTATTATTTATAAAAAAACCTTTTAATATTATTATTATTTTACTTTTATTATATTAAATATATTAGCTAAATTATAATAATATAATTATATATTTAACATTTCTTTAAATTAAGTATTTATATTAATAAACATTAATGTATTATAATTATTATATAATAATATAATTAATATTAATTTATTTATTATTCTTTTTTAATTTATTTACTTTTATTATTTTAAATCCCTTTAATTTATATTAATTACCTTAATGCTTAAAAAATTATGCTAAAAGTAAATTATTAATTAAAGAGAATTTAATATAGTATAAATAGGTAATGGTAGATTTTAAGTAAATTTATTATAAATTTATTATAAATTATGAATTCATAATACTTTTACGGTAAATTTACCGTAAATGCTAATATTTATGGTGAATTTATAGTGAATTCGTTATGAATTCATTATGTGTATGTATATATAGGTAGATTCCCCGTGTATTCCCCTGGAATTTATAGGGGCATTGAATTTCATACCTTTGCAACCATTAACTAGCTTATAATATATAATTTAAGCTTTAAAGTTAAAAGTTTAAGTTATATTTACTGTAAATATATGGGCACCCTTTTTATAAAGAAAAACCTTAGCTTAAAAAAGTAATATTATAAGTAAGCCTTAAAGGTAATTATATTATTATATTAAAAAGGTTTTAATTAAAAAAGTTATATATTAAGCTTAAGTTATTGCTTAAGCTTTATATAATATAATTAAATAATTTAAAAAAGCTTAAATTATTATATATTTTTTAACTTAATAAAATAAATATTGCTTTATAACTTATAAAAAAAGACGTTAATTAACTTGCAGCTTTTTTAAGGCTAGCTTATAATAATTATATATAAAAAGAATATAAAAATATTATATAAATATATATATTAAGGCTTTTTTTTATAAAAAAAGGAAATATAAATTAAGTTAAATAACTTAAATTTAACTTACTCTTTAATTTAACTTAATTAATTAAATAAATATATTTATATAAATTTAAAGATATATATATATATTAATATATAATTATCATTATATATTTTTATTACTTTTTTTATTTAAATAATATATAAAGCTAAATATAAGTAAATATTTTATATTATATTATAAAATTAATATTTTTAAAATTATATAAAAATTTTATAAAGAAATATATATATTTTTTTTTTTAAGGTTTTAATATATTAAAGTTTATATATTAATTATTAATATTCTTTAATATATATATTTTTATATAAATTTTTTTATATTATTATAATATTAATATTATAAAAAACTTATATATATTATATAATATTATATATTATTTAAAAATAAATATAAAATAATTATAAATAAGTAAATAAAAAAAAATATTTAAAGATTAAAAATAATAAAGTAAAAATAAAACTTTTTTCTTAAGAAAAAACTTTAATCTTTATTTTATTAAATAAGGAATTATATATATATATATAAAATTTTAATAAAATTTTATTTAATTTATTTAAAATATAAAAATAAATACTTTAAACATTTTATAAAGAGAATTATATAAATAGTTTTAAATTTATATAGAAATTCCTTATTAAAAAATATTAATATTATATATATAATCTTAAATAATATATTTTTATTTAATATTTTTACTTTTTAAAAAATTATATTTATTTATATATATTTTATTAATTAATAAAACTTTAAATTTATATTTTAATAATATTTTTAATATATATAAAAAATGCTATTTTTATATATAATTAAATAATAAAGATATGTTTTTATATAAAAAGAGAAAATTAAAATTATAATAATATTATTAATATATATTTATATAAATAAAATAAATATACTTAAATTTATATAAATATAGCTATTTTATTCATTAAGTAAATAGTGGCTTTATTTGGTGGGTCCAGTGTGCAGGGGTGGGCTGAATCAGGGGGTGGGCCGAATCTGGGCCACTTGACTTAAAATGACAAGGGGGGGGTAGCGTTTCGTTTTCCACACACAGCTATGGAAAACCGTGCCCGCGCCGCAGACGCACCGCATGCTAAGTACGGAGCTGTGGAGCTGTCCTAATCAAACTTTTCGATGATGTAAGAAAAAGGGGCATGCAAAGCCACTACCACAACTGGATATATGTCAGGAACCTCCTCGACTTGGGCATCTCATAGTAGTTGTCCAACTCGGTGATTTCTTCAACGCTGAGCGTACGCCTGCCAGTCACCAAGTCGGCTGTTTTTGGATCCCGCCATTGAGTCCTATAAATTGATTTGTACCCCAGTGTAAAGACGATAATGATGAGCAGGCCGATCGTGTGCTGGAAAAAGTTCTCCGCGGTGAAGCCGGAGCCATCCTAGCAAGTGTTAGTCGATTCTCTCTATGTCTCACTCTTCCGAACAGTGGGCTACTGAGCGTACAATTGGGGTGATGCCACAGACGAGACAGAATACAAGCAACAGTAGAGAGGTCAGCATCAGCCAACCGGGAGCAAGTGGCCACGCCGAAGACCTCCAGGCATAAACCTGCTTGAAGAGCGGGTCGTCCTGGGCCCTAATAGCCTTGTGGAATTGCCAATTGGTGAAGGAGATGATGATCCAGTCGCAAAAGAAGGAAGCGCTGGTGATGGAGATTAACCAGTTCAAGACCACAAAACCGCCAGCCATTGAGTGATAAACGAGTCAGTTCCGAAGAATACGTGCTTCTAGGGACGAGCCCAACGTTACCTGCGAGCTGGATGTAAGCCACGATAAGACCAAAAGTGCATGTTATCAGAAGTGCCACACTAGGCCGCCCCTTGTCGTCAACTTTAGCATTACGCTTGGAAATGAGTCGCTGATGAGCCATCGTTCTCAGGATTCTGGATGAGAGGTAGATAGACTCAGCAGCAATGCCCAGGACACCGATCATCATGCCGACATTAAGGAGAGAAGGGATGCCGGGGATACCCGAATCATCGACCGCGATAACAAATGGCGACGCGGCAACGCCTTTTCCGCTCAGCAACCTGTCATCGTCCGATGGAACAAGTAGCGTGGTGAACATAATACCGAGCATGTAGACGACATTGACGCGGAAGGGGACGAGCCACGCCAGGCTCTAAACTGGGTGGCTGGAATACCCGAATATCATGCAGCTATAAGGAAGTGTTTTGTAAATAATTTCTCAAGCTTTAATCTAGAGTAAATAATATAGAATACTGTATAGATTCAAGTTGTGAGACCTATGACACGGCTTGGCAGGATGTATCTTATTTGCACTGTGGCCACTTATACCTCTATACTCTCCTGTTTTTGCTCTGTGAATATGCGAACTCTATTGAATAGTTGCATTTTCCGGGCGGCCTCGTCTCATGCTTCCAGCGTTTGGATAACGCTAAGCAGGGTCCGGATTCCCGCATGATCAATAGACCAGCTCACGGCCGCCTCAAAGAACTAACAAATTGATGCCCGAGGCATGCACCCGTTGTCATTATTTCCACAGAGTTTGAGAAGGCAAAAGGGGACAGACATGAAATCCAATCCCATCCGCTCACATGCATAAAAAAACATTTCCTTCACTTAGACGCCAAATCAATCGTCTCAGGTCCACGCGACGTAGCCTTCTTGCCCATCAGCCACCCAAGGAAGCCAGACGCCCCCATGAGTAACGGGACTCCCACGCCGACGCCAACACCAACCCCGAGCTTCCACTTGTCGTACATCTCGTTCCCCCCGACATCCTTCTGCGCCGCCAGGAACGACTCGACTTCCGCAGGTGGCAGTATGAAGAACTGCGACTTGTCCTCCGAGACGACCTGGCTGTCGCTAGAAACTGTCCTCCTGGGCCGAGAGATGACGATCTGGTTGTTGGAATCCTGGGCCACGAGCCAGCTCGCAGTGCCGGAGTCCACATCCGGGGCGAGGTCTGTCGGGAATTGGCCGAGGATACCGCTTGGGTGGAACGTGAAGGAGAATGAGGATCCGGTCACATCTTTTGAGGAAGTGTTGCGGCCTTGTCAGCGAACATGGTTGTTGAACAGAGCGGCATACTCCCCATGCCTTTCCTGCCCATCGCAGACGCATATGCGCTAGCAGGAATAATGAAGACTAAATTGTCTCCCATTTGGGACCCCAAGTCAGGCTCACACCGTTGCCGCCATACCCACTACCAAAGTTCCAGGTGATCGTGACCGGGTTTTCATTCGTGGGATCCCCTTCCTTCCACGAGATGATGTAGTCGCGGCCGCGGTCGAGAAGCGCAGCGTTCAGCTGGTTGTCCATGAGAGTCCTGGGATAAGCCCCGTCGGGGAACGAACAGCCCGTCTGGCCATCTTCTCGGCCCTCGTCGGCGGCACACCAATGGAATGAGGTCAGGCAGACATTATCACCGACGCATGATCGCTGCAAGGGGTCGTACGCTTGTGTTGCCCGTGGTGTTAACGCAAGGAGAAGTAGGAGCGTGGGGCTCGCCAGAAACCAAAGGGGAGACGAGCTCATCGCAGCTTGGACGTTTTTATTATCAGATTTAAAGCGGCGCACAGAAAGGCAAATGGACCGGAGAACCTGTGGCTGCTGTGCCTCGTCGTGACACCTCGTCGGGTCTAAGTATATACCGAGTTCGCACAACCTAGACCAGAACTGGAGACCCTACGGACAGGCCACCATTAAGTCATTACGCATGTCAGGGGGGCATAGAAAGGAATACGCGGTTTGGTTCTAGTGCGGTCTTGACTTCCATTTCAGTAACAGAACTGCATTGTAACTTTGGGACCGTGAAGAGGAGCTGAGCCAGCCAAGATCCGCCCACCCAGCTTCCAGGTACCGCCCACCTAGCTCTTTGCGTACGCCCACTTAATGTGACGGGGCTTATGCCGGAGATAGTTGATATATTAAGAGTACAAAAGACAAAGAACTAAGAGAGGAAGCCAAAGGCATTGCCCCGGCTTTCAGCTATATACATATAATATTAGGTTATATAATTAAATAAAGATTTATAAGCATACCCATTATATTACCCCTTAACTAGGAATCTTACCTTAATTAGCATTTTAAATCCCTTAAAAACCGCTTAAATTCTTAAGGAAATTGCAACTTATTAAGATTTATAATATTATATTATTATTATGAGCTAGCCTTGGGTTTATCTGCCGTAAGGTATTTAAATGGAGTTTATATTTAAAGTGCAAAGAAAAAGGTTTGCTCCCTATTTATACTCGCGCCAAAGCTTATTCTTATAGGGCCAAAGCCCATTAATTAATCATAATAAGCAAAGCCCAAATCATAATATATCCTCCTTTTTTAAATCCTTATGGCAAGCCTTAAAGGGCAGCTATATAATAAAAATAAAGAATGCCATAATTTAATTATAAATTAAATATTGCTCTTTACTCAACCATTTAATTACACCTTAATGCCTTTTAATTATATTAAAGGCCCAGCTTATTATTTATAATTAATATACTTTAACCCTTATAATTTAATATATTAGCTAAAGCAAGCTAATAAAAAATAATTATTTAAGCATAAATTAATAGCTAAATTAACGGCATTTTTATAATTTTTTAATATAAGCCTTTTATATAAGCTTCCTTACTTAAAACCTTAAAATTATACATTTATTATATAATTTATAATTAATTAATGCTTAATTATAAGTAATTTACTTTATTAATAGAAATTTCTTAGATTTTAAGCATTTTTATAATGCTAAACTAGCTAATATATAGTTAATTTACTTTAAGCTTAAGCTAGCGCTAAGTTAGCATTACTTTTAAGCTTTACTTTATAAAAAAAATTTTACGCCCCCTTAAATAAACTCCTTCCCCTTATTAATTATAATTAATAAAAGCTATATTTTTATTTTCTTATAATAATTAAAATAATTATACTTATAATAGCTAAATTAACTATATATAAAATACTTAACTTTGCTTATTAAAATTATTATAATATTAATATTTATTACTTTACTATTTTAAGGTTAAGTATTATTTTTTCTTATTATAATGCTAAAAATGCCTTTATATTATTATAAGGCAAAGCAAAAGGCCTTAAATATATTTAGCTACTTTTTATAATTAAGCTAAGCTTTTATTATAAAAATTAAGTTATTAATTATTAATAATATTTTATACTTATTTAATTAACTTTAAGTCTTTGCTATATAAGCTAATTAATTAAATTAAGTAAAGAATTTTATTATCCCTTCCTTATAGCGCTATTATAATATAATTAAGCTAAGCTTAATATATCTTTGCTTAAAAAAATTCTTAAATGCAAAGCAAACCTTCTTTAAAAAGCTTTTTAGCTACCCCTTAAATATCTTTATAAAACTAATATAAGGTAAAAATTAATTATAGAAAGTTCTTAGCTAATTAAATATATAAAAAAATTAAGCCTTTTTAACGTTAATTACCTCCCTATTTATTATAAACTTAGCCCTTATTTTTATTAACTAAGTTGCTAAGTATTTTTAAGATAAGAGTTTTTTAAAATAAAAAAGGGCTTAATAAGCTATTATTATTTTTTTTAAGTTTTATTATATTAAGTTTTATATAATTATATTATAAGTTTATAATGCAAGAGGACTTTCAATATATATTATAAGCTAGCCTTAAGTTATTTGCTATAAGGTATTTAAATAGGGTTTATATTTAAAGTATAAAGGAAAAGGTTTGCTCCTTATTTATACCCGCGCTAAAGCCTATTCTTATAAGGCTAAAGCTTATTAATTAATTACAATAAGCAAAGCTTAAACCGTAATAATTATTACCTTTAATTTTTACCTTGCCTACCTTAATTAACGCTTTAATATAATTAGCTTTTATTAGCATTTTAAATTACTTATAAGCTATTAATATAAGGTTTTGCTTTCCTTTTATTTAAGTATATAAATTGCTTAACTTTTATATTATATAGCTAAGGTTAACCCTTTATTTCCTAACTTTTACTTAATGTTTATTAAATTTTACTTACTTAATAATAATTATTATTAATAATTAAATAAATATTGCCTTAAGTTTATTATAATATTAAGCAATATAGCTTAGCTTATTATATTTAAAGTAAAGGCTTTTAAACCCCTTTATATAAATCTTTATATATATATTATTAATATTTATATTTATTATATTTAAAAGTAAGGCTTAAGGTTTAAACTTTATAATTAATATATTAAAAAATTATTATATAAGATTATAAAATACTTTATAATTATTAAGTTAATCTTTAATTTTTAATTATCTTTTATTATTATATTAAATATTATAATTAAAAAAGTAATTTTGGCATTTAAGGATTAAGCATTAACTTTTGCATTAAATAATGCGGAATTAAAGGTATATAAAAAGGCATTTATAATGCCTACTTATTATATATTAACTAGGTATTATTATGCCTTTTTTAGCTTATTTAAGTTTTTATATATAACTTTAATTACTTTAACCAAGGAAGCCGCGGAAACCTAATTAAATCCTATAAAGCTAAGTTTTTTAATATAAATTATAAATAACTTAAAGATATTTAAAGAGCCATTTTTAATTATATATATATATATTATAGCTAAATATATTTTAAATTAATTATCACGGCATTTATTAATATTTTTATATAAATCTTAATTTATTAAGTATTAAAGTTTTAAGCGCTTTAAAAAGGGGGTATATTAAATAATTAAATATAAAGTTAATTTAAAATATTAGCTATATTTAAACGGAAAACAAAAGAAATAAAATAATACTCTTTTTAATTAATTAATATAAGTAAGAGGGGTTTTTATAATATAATAAGGCTTATGCCGGAAATAATTAATATATTAAGAGTATAAAAAATAAAAAACTAAGAAAGGAAGCTAAAGGCATTAACCCGGCTTTTAGCTATATATATATAATATTAAGTTATATAATTAAATAAAAGTTTATAAGCATGTTTATTATATTTAATATAATTAAAATAGCCATAAATATTAATAAAGAAATTATACGTTTTAAATTTTAATTAAAATTATCTTATTATTTATTAAACTTTATAATTTTTTACCTTTAATATAATTTATTAATAAATAATTAATATTAATAAATAATCAATTTTTTAACTTTAATTAATATTAATTATATTATTAAAAATATAAATTATTATACATTATTAAAATAAATATATTTATATTAATTTAATATTAATTTAGCGAAATTTATTATAATAAAATTAAAATTTAATTAATTAAACTTTATTTATTTTTTTTTATAAATTTTTATACTATATTTAATCTTATTATAATTATTATATTATTATTTAATTAATTTATTATAAACTACCTTTTTAATATTATTATTTATTGTATTAGCTAATTATTTTTTTTTTAAATAAAAGCTTACGATAAAACTTAGGTTGTTGGCATTTCGCCATCCAATATCCCGCTCCCGACTTCATCTGCTCGTAGTCCACACGAAAGACAAACAAGCGTCCGGGGAAATCCGATGAGAACTACCACGAAAGGTCCGTAAAGGGTGAAAGCAGTACCGGAAAAGCCACAGTCTCAAGGGTCGTTCGACACTAATCGGAAGATTGATCAGCGTCTCCTGAAGTATTAATTATAGTGCGCTGAGATATCCATACGGTTGCTGTTATCACTGTCCCTTTGGTCACGGAGATATAACGACATGACTCTTAACATCAGAAGCACTCTCCAACTCGGCTTTAATTTGGGAGGTTATCCTACCTCCCTACATAAACCATGTTGTTCAACCAGCTTTCCTCGCCCGAGTCGCTGCCGCGGCGCAACAACTCGAACTGCGCGGATATAACCGTGAAACAACACAACCGGTATGCTTCCTCCACGCCGCACTCATAGACTATGATGATCACAGTAGCGTAAGTGTTGGACCTGCGTTTACTGAGCGGTCCTGCAATATGACAATAAAATATCGAGCCTACGGCTGAGATGGCAGCCTGAGTAGCGATGACGGACCCGAGTTGGGTCCAACGCAATTCACTTCGACGGACGGCGGGTCTATCCGTAAGACTGGTTGGTCGTTTGCACGCAATGCGATTGGGTTTCAAGGACCGCCATGATCTAATACTTCTTTCCTTTTATTAAGCATCTGCCTAGCTGTGCGAATACCCAACATCAAAGGGCCGTCTGGGTAATATTCTATCCTCTCACTTGCACAACGGTCATTCTTCCAACAGAATCCTGTCTCCTCCGTACAAATTGGGAAAATAATTTGATAGCTCACATGGTAAGACTTATCATGGTTTGTAAGTGATGCAAATCACATCCTTCTCTTACCACCCAGAGTTCAACCTCGGAATCCCGTTACTCTTCCTTCCCGTCCTCTCTTTTACGATCGACCGTCCGGATCCCTCACAACGGCCAGACTTGACACTAATGGTTGTCCCTCGGAGGTCTTCTCACTCAATTCCATTGCAGTTATTAGTATAGCATGCAAGTTCCCGGTGGCCGTTCCCGTTGGCCGTTCCCGTTGAGGACTTTTGGCGCACCATGCATGCAGGACAGTCTATGCTGGGCGAGCCGCCCAGTGGGCGCTTTCCGACCGACCAACACCCACGGAACACCGAAAAGACGGTATACTTCGGCAACTATCTGGAGAGTCTCGAAAGCTTTGACTACCGCTTCTTTCAGAAGTCGAGTCGCCAGGCGGCGTCGATGAAGCCCTAACAACGCCTTATGCTTGAGGTTTGCTACCAAGTGCTGGAGCCAGCAGGCTTCTTCGGCCCCCTTGAGTCGAAGTTGGACGTGGGCTGCTTCATTGGCGTGTGTGCGTCTGATTATAACGACAACGTCGCCAGCCACGCGTCTAACTCATTCGGCGCTGTTGACGTTGCGAGCCTTCGTTCCCGGCAGGGTCAACCATTTCTTTGGTTTGAGTGACGCTCCCATCGCCATTGATACGGCGTATTCGTCATCAGCGGTGGCGGTCGATGCTGCCAGTAAAGCGATCCTCTGCGGCGACTGCAAGAACGCCCTTGCCTGCGGTGTGTAGGTCTCTACCAGTCCGTTCTTCTTTCAGAACCTTGCTGCAGCGTCGTTCTTCAGTCTCACCGGGACGAGTAAGTCCTTGGATGCCAGTGCCGACGGGTACTATCGTGGAGAAGGGGTGGGCATCATTGTGTTGAAATAGCTCTCTCAAGCTGTTGCAGACGGAGGCTCCATCCTGGGCACAATTCTGGCCACCTCTGCTAGGCAATGCAGTAACAGGGTCCCCAATACAGTTCCATATACATCCCATCGCAGGCCACGTTGTATTGTGAGGTTTTGAGGACAGCGGGCATCACTGCTGATGACGTCACGTATATTGAAGCACACGGCACGGGCACCCCCGTGGGTGACCCTCTCGAGTTCCAGGCCATCAAAGGGAAATTTGGGGGCACAGCCCAGCTAGGGCCGCTGCTCCTTAGACTGTGAAGGGCAGTATTGGCTACATGGAGGGAGCCTCGGGAGTCGCGGGGCTCATCAAAACCATCCTCATGATGCAGAACCGTGCCATTCTCAAGCAGGCGAATCATGTATCGCCGTATCCCATGATCGGCCTCGTGCCGGGGAAGATCCCTGGACTGCCAATAAGCTCTCGTCGCTTGCGTGACCAATTATGGCGCGGCAGGGAGCATCGCGGCCACATCTATTACTAGTAGCTCTCTATATAGTACTACTAGTTTTATTTCACTTTCATAAGACTAAACTCATGAGCAGGATAAGCGATCACTATGTCGGGGCTGGCGATAATACGGCTCACCTAGAAGCAAATGCCCACTGCAGATACCCGCAAGTTCTTATCACCCATGAGGGCATTGACCAAGATCAGGATTCGGATGAATATCTCCCGTACTAAGTTCATGCATTGCAGCCTTGGCGTTTGATTGGCCCCAGCGTATTTGAAACGCGAGTGCTACCCGCCGAGAATAAATTCGTTTTATTTCCGCCCCTTACGAACCTTAAGTTCGCTTTCAACTGTGCGAATCAGCCACAGGCGAGCGGACTAGCCCTGGGCGCATTCAACTTTAAGACGAACAACTCACAAGGCTCGAAAGGGGCTCTTGACTTGGGTTGCTCTTAACATAATTCCTGCTCATCTTGTGTTTGCAGAAGCTTGCATTTATTCCCTATGCACCACGTAGACCATAGATTGCACCATGTCGCTGTTCAAGGCCTGCTGCCTACTTTTCATGTTTTCTACCAACATCATTACCAGGTCCCAGAATACTTCTTCGCCCGGTTGTTACAAGAGTGGCGGAAATCTCTCGCCTGGAACCAGCACCGAAACAATCCGCGGTCGCTCATATCTGCTTTCGATACCGTTCAGCTATTCATCGGACACCCCGACGCCGCTCATCCTGTCATTTCACGGTGGTGGTCAATCTCCTTCGATCCAGCTCCACGCTGATCAGTTGACCAATCCCAATGTCAATGACCATTATATCGTCATTTATCCGGAGGCAGTTGATGTATGTTTCCGAGTCAGCGAGGATGAGTAACCCGAAGCCGCCTACTGATAAATCCCCTTTCAGAAACAATGGCAGGTTAGCCCCGATAGCGCCTCTAACGATCTCATATTCGTATCAAATATCCTAGACGAAGTTGAGGCTACACTATGTATCGATACGTCCCGGACATATGCTACGGGAAAATCTCAGGGCGGCGGCATGGTCGGTTTGTTAGCCTGCGATCAAAGTCTCTCCACGAGAATTGCTGCGTTTGCGCCTGTTTCTGGTGCTTTCTACGTAATGCCGGAGGGGGGCTGTGAACCCGACTCTGTCGATTTACCATGCTCTGCCGGTCGATCTGACATCCCGATACTGGAATTCCACGGGGGAAGTGATCCGGTCATCCCCTACTACGGCGATGCTGGTAAAAGGAACGCTTGCCTGCCTACCATACCTCACTGGGTCCAGACATGGGCAAAGCGGAACGACCTTGGAACCAGTAACAAATCGACTTCAATTACGCAAGCGGCAATGTGGCACCGGTTTGGCACGGGGCCGAGCTTAGGTCTTGTCTCCCATGTGTATGACGGAGCTAACGTTGGACATGTTTGGCCAGCGACGAAGCACAACGCTAGGGACACTGGCGACTTATCCACGGCATCCTTTAATGCGACTCCAATGATCCTTGAATTCTTCAGCAACTATACTCTGGCTACCAACCATAGTGACCCGGCCGAGACGGATGGCAATAGCGGAAGCACTAACGGCAGCACTAATGATAACTCTGGCTTGTGCGCTGGGAATCGGAAAGTGGCAATATTCTGGTGGTTCATGGGCTATTACATAGTCCAATCATTAATTTAAGCTTATAAGACGCACAACTCCTTTACTTAATAAACTTTGAAAGGTTTTTAAAATCATTTATATTTAAGACAAATTAAAAGTTTAATTATATTATATTACTTTTAAATTAATTAATTATTAAATTATGAGAATAATATATATGGGCATTATATATAATGTGCCCATGCAATAACTGCATTGCAAGCAATATATAAATTTAAAAGTACAAGGTTTAAACTAATTTTATTAATAATAGTGTAAGTGGGTGTATGGGTAAAGAACCCCATTAACTGCAGGCATTTACTAAGGCTCTGAACCCCATACCCCTTAAGCATAAAACCCTTGCCTTGCAATTTCCATAAGACTTCTTCCTTATATAAAAGGTAGCGCCATCTTAATTTAAATTAATGTATTAAGGATAGCTGCCTTATCTTTATATTCCCTCTCATAATAAGTAGCTATTAATTAATGCCAGCTAGCTATTAACTAACGGTTATATGCCCCGTATATAAATCATTATAGCTAACTTATAGCTAAATAAGGGAAAGCTATAGCTTTACTGCAACCTACTCTTTATATTATAGCTAAATTAATTATATAAAAGCTAAATTAATATTAATTAATGTTTATTTAATAAATATAAATAATTAAATCTTTAAAAGTTATTTATAAGTATTTATAAATAATAAAAACTTATAATACCTTTATAAAAATTATTTATAAGCATTTATAAATGTAAAACCCTTATAAAAAAGCTATTTATAAATATTTATAAATATAAAAAATTAATTTTTTTAACCCCTTTATTAAGCATAATTAAAAATATTATATTAAAAACCTTCTTTATAATATCCTTAAGCCCTTATAACCTTCCTTAATTATTAAAAAGTCCCTTGCAATATTTTTAATTATTAACGCCCTTATGCTTATAATTAATATACCCTTAAACCCTTTTTATAATATTGCAATATTCTTAAGCCCTTAAAAGCCTTTATTTATAATTAATGCTCCTTAAGATACTTATATAATATTCTTAAAGCTTATAATCTTTTAAAAACCCTTTAAGTAAATAATTAATATAATTATTTTATTTACTTAATTAACTTAAAATTATTAAAGAAAATAATTAATATTTATTATTAATTTATTTATATAAATAACTTAATTAAACGTTTAAAATATTTACCTTTTAATAATAATTAATATTTAATTAATAAGCATAACCTTTCTTCCTTATACCTTCTTTTTTTTTTCCTTTTTCTTATACCCTTATTACCTTTCCTCTTTTCCTCCCTTTTTAATAATAATAATGTTTAATATTAAATACCCTTAAAAATTAATATAAGTTAATTTATTAAATAATAATAATATTTAAGTATTATTATTTATAAGTAAATAGTTTAAAAGCTAGTTATTAACTTAAAAATATAGCAAAAAAATATTTTTCCCTTTCCCTTTACTTTATAATGAATTATCTTAAAATTTATCTTAATAATAATAATAATAACCTTAATAGCAATAATACTTATTATTAATTATAAGAAAGCCCCTACCCTTAGCTATTTAACCCTTCTTAAAACCCTTTAAAAATAACTATATTTAAGCGTTATTTATAAATATTTATAAATTCTTAAGTTATTACAATAATAAAGTTATTTATAAAAGCTAAAGCATATAATATAAAAACGTTATTTATTAATAATATAACTTAATATTTAAGTTAAAGCGCAAGCTAAAAGCATATATTTTTAACATTTATTGCAATAAGTTAATAAGCAATGCTAATAATGTCGATAATCTTAATACTTTTCCTTAGCTAATTCTTCCTTAATAGCCTTTTTATTAATAGCTTCCTTTTTAATAAGCTCTTCCTTAGCAGCTTTTTCCTTAATAACCTTAAAAGTAATTATAACCTTTTTTATAACTAGCTTATCCTTAATAAGTTATTTCTTATTAACCTTTTCTTTAATTAACTCCTCCTTAATAACCTTCTTCCTTATAAAGCCATTAAATATATTAATAAAAATACCCCTTTATATTATTTAATTAATTATATTATGTATATAAAATATTAAAATTATTAAAACTTTAATAATATTAATAGCCATTATTATTATTATAGCCTTAAGAAAAGCTAAGTATATAATTAATGCCATTATAAGCCTTAATAAATAATAATTAAGAATTATTAAAAGGATAAAAAAATAATTTAAAAACAATTATTTAAAATAATAATTATTATACTTCTTATAAAAATAATTATAACTTAAAAAAGAAAGATAATTACTTAATATTAAGTAATAACCTTAATAATGTTTATAATAACTATTTTAATAAATATTTTAATAATAATAATAATTAAGCTAATAATTATAACTTAAACTTTTAATTAATTAAAGTATAATATTTAAATACTTTAAAGCTTTAAAGTATTAATAATTAAATAATTTAATTAAGTAATTTAAATACTTAAAACGTTTAAACATACTTATATTTAAATACTTATATTTAAATATTTATACTTAAATACTTATATTTAACTTATTAAAATAATAATTATAAGGTACTTAATTTATTATAACCCCTTAAAAAATAAGATATTTATATTAATTAAGCAATTTAATTAACTAAGCAATAATTTAAAGAAAAGCATAATTTTAAAGCGTTTTTATATATATATATATATATATAAAACTATTAATATAAAAATAATATATATAAGCATTATATATAATGTATTTATATAATAAATATATTATAAGTAATGCATAAATTTAAAGGTATAAGGTTTAAATTAATCTTATTAATAGCAGTTATTAATTAATGCCAGCTAGCTACTAGCTAGCAGTTATATGCTCCATATATAAACTATTATAGCTAAATAAGGAAAGGCTGCAGCTTTGCTACAACCTACTCTTTACACCATAGCCGAATTAATTACACACTTTATTTATTTATTACCAACCATATAAAAGCTAAACCATTAAATTTATTTATTTTTATTTATAAAGTTTTTTTAATTTTTTCTTAACTTTAAGATAATATATATTATATATTTTAATATAAGGATTTTAAATATATAATTTATGTAATAATATTTAATGTTATTATAAAGATGAATGTAAAATTTGGGATTTTAAGCGCCAAGGGGGGGAGCATGAGTCAAAATGACAGGGGGGGTAACGTTTTGTTTTCCACACACAGTGCACAAGGGTCATACGCATACTTAGCCTCCTGGTGGGCCTTTACGTACAATAGGGGGCATTCAGGGTCTGACGCAGCCTGGACCTCCACGGTTCGGTTTGTGGGCACCGGGATCCTAGGTCTGGTGTTCCGCAGCCCGGTCTGAATCGCCTTCTCATTGCGAGAAGTCCACGTACATATTGATACTCAAAGCAGTCTATGAGGTTTCTTTCATGCATCGCTTCGCAGGCGTAGGTGGGCTCACAAATATGTGCATAGATCCAACGGAGTATGGTGCTGATGCGATGCACAATTCGAATACAGAATTGTCTACGAGCCTCCTCAAGGCAAGGCGTTTTGCGCTCCTCGGACCTTGCATGTGCAGTGGCTTCAGGAGGGAGCGCAACGTGCAATGCTGTAGTAGCCGCAAAGCCTTCCCGTGCATGGGACTACCTAGCTGACACCCGGCTAGGCCCACTCTTTAGAAGCTTCAACTGCAGAGGCCCGAAGCCCTATGCTGGGGCCCCTCAATACTACACCATGTGGTTAGCCGATCGTTTCGGTGAAAGGGGGAGCTTGCCGCACATCATCATGCAGCCACGACAGCGGGACGTTTCTGATCGAATGACCACAACCACTAGAATCCACTCAACCTTTAAGCTGCGAAGACTCAGCCCCTAGGTGATGAATACAAGATGGTCGGTGCACAACGGTTCATAGTGTGTTGTTATTCTTAGCATACCCGCATTACGTATACCTCCTGAGCTTGACTGGCTCTGCCATGAATCATCCCAAGTATGCTGGAGTGTAAACGTTCTAGAGCCTATCAGATGACTCGGCCCTGGACCTGGGAAGCTCAGCCCAGAAACATCAGGCTTCGTTGCTTGCGTCGGCTGCGCAGCTGCATTGATGGCCCTTCCCAGTGAGGGAGGGCCACCGATGCCGGGTGACGTCTTTTGCGGTCCCGATCCATCTTTGGTCAGGGGCCGATAGCCGATGTTGGGGCTCGGGGGTCCCGATCCTCATTCACCTCCACAGGGGTAATAAAGGTTAAATTTTGAGGTACCATCACATTGGCCCCACAGATATGAGGTACGCAACTAACCTTGAAGAGTATGCTGGAGATGAGGTAGCTGATGCTATTCCCAAAAGGTTAAGCGACTTGCCAAGGTCCCTCTGCCATAGAAATTGCTAGAATAGTGACTGTTCTAGTAAATGTGGATCTGGTGGGCCACGACTTGAGAATTTAACCTTTATTACCCCTGTGGAGGTGTACACAAAAGTCGTCGCGTACACCTCACAGCATGAATCGTGTGACGTTCTGCGCCCTCTTCCCCTGCAGAATTTGGTAAGAATGTGCCTAATGTGACGAGGCTGGAAGACGATCACGGTGCGAGCCTCGTTGGTTGGCCGACATTCATCATTGCGGTCACTTTGTCCGCGCCCACCAATGGTCTTCGAAGCGGTTGTTGTGTAACTATTCCTGTCTGCCGAGAGGACCTTTGGTGCAGCTGTGGAGGTCACGATGTGAGAAGACATCATCAAACGTCTCCAAAAATAGGTGCAAAGTTTGCCAAAGGGTAACCTGTCGAGATCTTACATGGCAGTAAAGCCTGATTTCCTGACGACGAATGGAAGAACATCTGTCACTGTCAAGCTTGGCAGATGAGTTGAGGTAGAATCAGTTCCACAGTAGATATCGATTCGAAGAATGCCCGCAATTCTCATCCAAGTTTCTGAAAAAGAACTGCAATTTAGTGTTGATGCAAATCGTGCGCATCCTCATCTTCATCCTCGTCTTGTCCATATTCTTCGTCTTGGAAATGGCCCTCCCACTCGGGAAACGCATCCTCAAATCCGCCAATTAAGCTTTCTTTTGCAGCATCCAGCTTCTCCATCACAGCTCTGAGCTCCGTTTGACTCTTTTCCACCGCCCTCATCCTCCGCTTCCAGCGCTTCCACTCAACGTCAGTCAGCAGGCAGTCATCCAGGACCTTCTCGATGCCCTTCACATCAAGCTTCTCTCCAATAAGCACGATCTCCTGTCTCCGGTCTCCCCACTCGCCACCACTGTCCATGTCATACCGGACCTGTTTCATTATCTCCGGGTCGGTCGTGTCTTCGTGGTACAGCTGTGATAGCTGCTCCGGGGTAAGGGTGATGTCCCATCTGGTCCCGCCGACCAGTGTGAGCATTGCTCCTGCCTGCGACCAGATCCCGCGGTAGTCAGGCCGAGTTGCGAGCCAGTAGGTGCCCTTAGACCGGAAGAGCCGAGCAAACAGCGGGTGGGCACGTTTGTTGGCCAGAACGATGTCATTGGGAGGCGTAGCTAGGTCCTCTGCCTCCGAGTCGGCTGATTCCATGTCGATATCTTTGGTATTGACGACATTGACCTCGTGCTTGCTGGCCGTTGGAGATGTTACGGCCGTTTGAGCAGAGCTCGAAACCTCTGATGCGCCTGAAGTGGAGGCCTCGCCCTCCGCATCAGTGTCTTGGTCGTCCGAATCCCCGTCTTCCGTCTCTTCCGGGATGTCTTCCATTGCCTCGTCCTCGCTGTTGCCACTGTCTATTGCAACCACAGCTGGCTGTTTGCTTGCATTTTCTGATGTTTTAACAGCATCATCCGCGTCATCTTCGGGGTGCTCGAGCTGCAGGATGAATTTGTCGTGCACCAGTCTCCAGAGCCTCTCTGGATGGAAAGGACGATGCCGCTTGTAAACGAAGTTGCGCACATTGTACTCCTCCGTCTCTGGCTTGGGAGTGATTGCAGTCTTTCCGTTTACCTGCCGGACAACACATCAACGGCCACTCGTCATCAGTGCCCAGTGAAGAAGAAGCCAACTCACCTCCCTAAGCATCAACTCATGTAAGTCTCGCATCCACCCCGAGCTTGTTTGGGCCTTGTCCAGACTGAACAAACCCGTGTTGACGAGTTCTCCTACATTGACCTTACCGTAGCTGGCTTGCAAGATCTTAGCTTCGCGATTCAAGGTCCGCACAAGGGCCTTGGTCTCGGCCAGGACCGCCATATCGACTGCATCAGTCTTGTTGAGGATAATGACATCGGCGAACTCAATCTGGTCAACCATCAGGTCGGATACCGTTCTCTCGTCCTCTGGCGTCACATCGTTGCGGCGACTGGAGAGTAAATCCGCTGTGTTGAAGTCGTTGTACATGGTGAACGTGTCAATGACGGTCACGGTGGTGTCCAGGCGGGCAAATTTTCCCATGCCAGCTTCGCCGGCTTTATGCCTGGACAAGGTCAGCGTATTCGAGACTTTCAATATTTCCAAATCCTTTTAACGCCTAAGATCGAGGAGATGAAACGGATTCTGTGTTGCAGATTTCATACTTGACTTGGCAAGTGATGGGTTGGATTCGCTTACAGTTTCTTCAAGGCGCCACCCTCATCCAATTGTCCCTCCTCCTTCAAAACCTGGTACATGTGCTCTGTTAGCTTGGAGTCGAAACTCTCGGCGACTTGGCCTGGTTCGCTAACTGTTACTTTTCTGTCAGCGTTGCCGTACACCTTTGTCCGGTCACTACGCCAATTAAACAAGTAAAGCTTTGGACTCACTTCCGCTGCTCTCGATGATAACGTAGTCGAAGGCATGTTTCTCCGACAGTTCGACCAGTTCAGATAGCAAATCTTGGCGGAGTGTGCAGCAGATGCAGCCATTCTGCAGTGCAATGACCTTTTCTTCTGTTTTGTGTATGCGGTGGGTGGACTGGATGATCGAAGCGTCGACATTCACAGCACCAATGTCGTTGACAATTACGGCAATGCGTAGCCCGTGGTCACTCTGTAGTATGTGCTGAAGGAGTGTTGTTTTGCCACTCCCCTGTGCAACACACCATGCGATGATTAGCGTCTCAGTAAGTGAATGCCCAAGATGATCCAGGGAATGGGACACGACGAGAGCTTTTAGCCATACCAGAAACCCCGATAGCAATGTCACAGGGAGCGGTCCCACCCGTTGCTTCACCTTTTTGGGGTTTTTCTTCCCCTGCGACGCGGTCACAGCCGGCTTTCTCTTGGACGTCATGACGAGAGACGGAACGAATAAATAAGCCCAGCAGGTTTGAGGACGCGGCACAGCTAGGAGAAGCTTGGTCTGACTATTTCGATTCCAACTCTCGATTTCTTCGCGAATCTACTTCTTTTATATTGTTCTTTTCCCATCAGGTGGACCCGCCATGGCTCGGTTTCGACGTGGGCTACCATGACGGAAGGAGGGTGGCCATCAAGGTTCCCAGACCGCCCTCAAGGTTCCCATCAATGAGATCCACAGCTGCAGCACCGCTAATCACGACGAGGCAATTTCAAACCTAAGCACTCGTTCCTTGCTAGAACGGTAGGTGAAGTGATGATCTGTTCGCATGTGATACAGGCACGCTCTCTAACGATGTCACTAGCCTCCCTCTGTGCACACGTGACACATCGTTTGAAGACGTGTCCAGGGTTGACAATCGCCACACAATGTTTGGCAAACAATTATGTATGTGGGGATACTTGAACGTATATGATGTAATTGACCAGTGTCCATCACGCTCAATTACATTTAATAGGACAGCTTGGGTTGAACACCACTTTCAGGCAGAACGGCCATATTCGTACGTCTCAGGTGCTCACCAAGGAAATGAAACTGATGGTCACCTTTAGACGGGTGATGAATGAGCCCCGCCCCATACGATACACCAACAGAATTTATCGTCATGCTATACTTGCTCTGTCCATCGATGTAAGTATAAGTAATTGATATTCGGACCTCAAAATGCCTGTCTTTGACAATCTCGTCGCGAATAGATACGTTGTACGCATTCGAAGCCTGATAAATAATTTGAACCTCTGTGAGACACATTCAAAAGGTGTCAGCAAGTCCTCAACATTCTGTCCATGAATCAGCTGTCGCCGCAGATTGATTCCACTCATCCTTGTTTGTTTTGGATTACTTGATTATCTGTTATGTTTTCTTGCGGGTGTACTATGAAGTGGCTCTGTTTAGCCTTTTTGAGACTTTTTCCAGAATATCCCCATCCAATCCGCACTCTTTTAACAATGCAGTGATTTACAATACATTTTTGTGGTTACAGGCTGACAATACAGTAGCATAGTAAAAGTGGTCTGGAAGACTCCGTATACGGTGGTCCTGATGCTTCTGTATACCGACTTATTCCCGAAATTTCACGTTCACCAGCAAGGATTAGTTAATCATCCCTCTGGCTGGGTTCTGCTCTACAGAATTGATAGCAAAACTCCATAAAGCGACCCAGTGTCCCTAGTTTAGGTCTTGAACACGCGGCATGAGCTTCACAAGATTGTCGATGTGTCTGCCGGTGCATTGTGAGCACTATTGGTGTAGAGGACATTATCTCCGTGGGTCGATCTCCTTTCGGCCACGCCACGTCACGACATGGACAGCCACGTTTACGACAGCCACGTTTGGTGGTGTCTTAACTACTTGTGGAGTTTATTGAAAGAAACCTTCCAAGTCGCGTTAGCTTTCTTGGCCTACGATAAAACCAGATCTTCGTCGGCAGCTGCAGGAAAAACATGCTGGCAGTCCCGCCTTGCAGCTCGACAAGTGGAGGAATGCGGCTGCGGATCATTGTTCTAAACCCCGGTGAGCCATGTGCAAAATTCTCGTATTCCCGCTTTTCGTCCTTACTAATTACTCCTTCGTCTCTCAACTCAACTTGTGCAGGGTGCAACCCACATTAGTACGACGGCAGGTCAAGCACCACGATGGCCGAAGCAACGAACACAGACATCGGTATTCTGCCGAGGCTTGGCTTGAATGCTTGCCCATGGCCAGCATTCGCGGCCAGCCTCCTGGGCTCTGTTTTGGCCCTCATGCTCTACCGCCGGTACATGGCACCTCTCAGTGACGTCCCTGGGCCATTCTGGGCGTCGGTTGGGCGGATGTGGCACACGAGAATGATCATGAGAGGCAACCAGGGCGAAGATCTGCTTCAGCTACACCAGGAGTACGGTAGGTGTTTGCACACATGTGGGCAGCAGCGCACCTTTGCTGACGTCTGAGTCGAAGGCCATTTTGTTCGCATCGCGAACAATGAGGTTAGCGTCTGCCATCCTGAGGTTGTCAAGGAGCTCATCTTGACACCTCTCCGGAAGGATGCATTCTACAAAATCTTTGCCTTTCCAGACTCCAGATATACCAATGGTATGACCGTTCTCGACCCAAAGCAAAAGTCCGAGCACTCCAGGAACTTTGCCCCGGGCTACTCTTTATCCAATATGCTCCATTGTGAGGAACCCATCGACAAGGTGATCGGGTTGTTGATGGATTGGATGGACAGCTACGCCGACAACGGGCAAGCGATGCACCTTGATCGGTTCTGCACCTTCACCTCGAACGATGTGACGGGCGAGGTCCTCTTCTCCCGGCCGTACGGGTTTCTGAGGAGGGGCTATGACATTGGAAATGCCATTTCCAACAACGTGCGTCTAGGTCTCTTCGCCGCCGTGGCAGGCCATCATTGGTTGGTACTGATGATCCATGCCATTTTCCTCGCGAACCCCTTCACCACTTGGCTGGGCGTCATGCCTACTGGCCACATCTTGAAGGTCACCATGGACTCACTCCACGAGCGTGAGAACAGGGAGACAAAAGGTGGCAATCGCTTTGATCTGCTGGAGTACTGGCTTAAAACCCTGCGCGATCGCCCTGATCGCCTCGACCTGAATACGGTCCAGGGCCAGACCATCGGCACTGTCGCTGCCGGTGGAGACGCCACGTCGACGGCGCTTCAATCGTTTTTGTATCACATGATTAGGCACCCGACAGCCTGGCGCCGACTACGAGATGAGATCGACGCCGCGAGCAAGCAAGGAAGGTGTCAAGACAGAATCATCAGCTTCACCGATACCCAGAAACTACCTTTCCTGCAGATATGTATCAAAGAGGCCATGCGCGTTTTTGCACCAGTTCAACAAGGTCTTCCACGTGTGGCTCCAAGGCACGGTGTCAAAGTTGGAGACCGAGAGTTCCCAGAGGGAACCATCCTTTCTGTCAGCACATTTGTGCTGCATAGGTCCAAGGAGATCTGGGGATCTGATGCGGAAGTGTTCGACCCTGACCGGTGGTCCGCGGCAGACATTTCTTCGAAGGAGAAGTATTTTATACCAGTGAGTAACAACCAAAGAGACTGAACACTGAGGCATGGAAGGGCTGCTGACCCGGTGTCTCGCTGGCTTTGTGATTATAGTTCAGCGGTGGTTATAATGGTTGTCCCGGACAGCACCTTGCGAAGATGGAGGTCGCTAAGATTTGTGGAACTATAGTCCGCGATTACGACATCAGACAAGTCGAGCCAAAGAAACCGTGGTCGTACAAGGCGTATTTCAACGTGGTTCCGCACTCTTGGCCTGTATTCGTTGCCAAGAGGCGCCGTCATTAGTTCTCGATTTGGCCGACCACAATAATCAGCCAACTGCGCGGCAGGAACAGGAGGACACTGCATGCTGCAACCAAAACATTCTTATTCTTGCGAAGACATCAAATTCATTTATGCCTTTCTTCGGTGGTCCAGACGCGGTAATTATGCCTTCTGCCAATGAGTCTAAAAAGCTCCAAGGGCGCGAGCGGACTTGTTTGACCAGCGTTTACTGGCCATTGTGTCTCTGAACTCTATACATTTATAGCCTTGCCATGGTATATGTCATCTTCCGCTATTTTGGGGTCATGGCAATAATCAGTTCTGATGACCTTCAAACAAAATTGAAACTGTTGACCGCAAAGCGAACATCATAGACGTGCACTTGTAGCAGTGCTTACAGTGGACGAAAACTTTAGAAAAGCCAGACACTATCCTCGTCGCCATCAATGCGAAGAATGGGAACAACGGAATGGAGTCAAATATGGTCATAATGGAATATGGTGCCGGGGAAATTTTGACACTAGTTGAGCTGGCAAGGAGGCAAATTTAATTCTAATACATGTCATTCAGTTAGCATGCAAACTCATTTGAAACAAAGAACATTGCCATTTTGAGGCAAATTATATTGAGGCACTTTGATTATAGATACCTCTGAGTTTTGTTCCAATTGCCTGGGGGAGGGGAGTCAGTCAGCTCTTAAACGTACATGAGCTGATATCACAGTTCAGTTCACATTCGCAATGTAGTTGGGTGATTAAGTGGTTGTAGATCGCTTCGCCACTGCCACTGCCACTGCCTACGGATAGTTTGTCACAGTTGATTCCTAGGTAGGTGCACATTTCACCGCGCTGTTTTTGGGAATTCTGAGGCCTGCACATATAGGCCTTGAGGCATTGCTTATCATTGTGCGTCATGGAATCGGTGTGTAGTTACAGCAGCCTGTTTTCCCATCCATTAAATACTTTCCCTGTGAAAGATGCCCATTCACTTTTCTCGTGTAAAGTCTCCGAGACGAATCACCAAATCCAGTTGCCCCCTTAGGGGACAATTATAATCAACACCGGAAATGTGAATTGTATCCACAACTACAACTACTAAAACACTTAAAAGACCTCGTCCGCCTCTATTCTCCCTCAACTTGCTTCCAATCTTCAGCCACCCATCATCAGCTTGACACTTCTGACAGACCCAACAATACTGTACAAGACAAAACTACACAACACTCAACATGCGATCCTTTGCTACTCTCCTTGCCTTCATGGTAATGGCCATGGCTCTCACCTTCTGCAATGCTGCACCTCATACCAAGCCATCTCACGACGTCTCCCGCAATGTGGGAGACTTGATCGATACCAACATCATTGCCGACGACCCTACCACCAACGGCACGGATGACACCAACACCCAAAACATGTGCTACGATTGGGACTCGAGCGAGAAGTGGAAGGACGTTGGTGGGCAGCACTCTGAGTTCGTCAACCAGTCCGTCTACGATCTTTGTCAGCTGATCGCCATTGAAGCCTACAAGGGCTTCCCATCTGGCAACACCGTAAGGCTCATCCTATTGCAACACCCTACACACTAATGCCAATATTCATTTCATGCTGACGGCTACCCACAGCTTGCGCACTGTAAGGAGGTCCGCCACGGAAGTCATGGGAGGGATTACGACCGCAGCATCGGCATAGCTCTCAGGTACCTGGGTCCCCAGCTGCAGTACAACCACATCTCTGCGGGATACTGCAACGATCGCATGGCGCAGCCGATGGCGTGCGGTGCGGGTGGAGAGTTTGACGTACGGGTCTACAACCCAAACCTGCCCAAACCCTGGGTCTCTGATCGGTGGGCAGTCAAGGCAGATCCAAATCGGGGCGACTGCCGGTCCAACGGATACAACAGCGATTTGTAATCAGTCGGACGGGACTCATGGAAGGGCAGAATTGTGGCCATGGCTGGAGATGGTGGATGAGATGGCTTGATCAGGCCATGTGCGGATCCATGGTTGGTCTCTGATCATTTGTTAGCTGCAGTGGCACAGCTCCTTCGCAGCATCGAGTAGCAATCAACCACAGATTGTACCAATTTTGCCCTTGTTCATTCTTTATTTTGCATCAGAAGAGGGTGACCTGACTTGTCTGAATTTGACTGACATTCTTCCATTCTTCCAACGTCGTTTCCCACACGCTGACAACACCCACCACCGGGCAATCGGTTTCTGGGCAATCGCTTCATACGGGCCTGGATCATTTCGTTGTGATCGACTGCTCTACTCGTAGCTCACTATCTCAACCGCACATTTTCACCAGTCCAAATGATAGAGCACTTGTCGTAGTACATGTCCGTATAGGATATTTGTTCAACACAGCAGTGCGGAGAAATGGCATCACGTCGTCGACCGGAATAGATGGTCTGCATGCACTGCCCTGCCTTCAGGGACGCCTACACAGCTCAACAGGCTACCATGTGCAGGCACGAAATACTTGGTCAAGATACGTTCGCGATTTCCTGTGCTCTCAGACAGTCGGACATATTTTGCCAAGTATTCCTTTGAGTCTGCGGACAGTCTGCCGCTGCGTGGTGTCCGGAGGGTGCCTGAGGACATTGCAGGTTGGTTAAAAATGCGTTCTGTTTACCAACGCCCACAAATTATATTGAGCAACACCATTCTTAGCATTCTACTGTGCTGATGATACACGAAGACGTCACTTGGAGCTTTATCGCAAGTTTAACAACCAGCGCCAACACCCCCACCCTCCCTCCACCGTCCCACCAAAAGACCCTAGCCCTCATCTCCTGCTCTCCCACCAAACTGTAATCTAAATGGACAGGGGTTTTCAACAGGTCGTACGGCACGGAAGCCTTCGATCCCGGGTCGAGCTTGTTGACTCCGCCGCGATTGCTCCTATTGAATTAATTCAAAAAGGGCGACGTGTGCTTTTGCGAGGATGTCTACTCGTCACCAAATCCCCACGACTTGTACTTCCAGGGTCATCACGCCGTTGGCAGACAATTATCAACGCCTCCCGGCTCTTTGCGCAGCACACTAACACGTTTCAGCCTCACAAAGTCCCAACGTTCCACCAACTGACACTGTCCCGGGTACTGCTCAACTGGACACACGCCAACAGCATGGCAGCAAGTAAAAAGCCGCAGTATGAATTCGGCGGGCCGTAAGTGATTCTGCCCCTCACATGGCGTTTTACCACCTACTTACAACGTCACTGGACAGCCTCGGTGCCGCTGCGATTGTGTTTGGCCTCCCTGTCCTGCTCAACGTCTGGTATCTCGCCTGCAACGGCGTCTCAGGATGTCCAGCTCCCGCTTTGCTGCAGCCCAGCACGCTGACCTGGGAGGCTCTCAAGCCGCAGATGCCGTGGCCCGAGCACGGCATATGGGGCTTTGCTAGCTGGGAGGCGACGGGCTGGACACTGCTGTACTACATCCTCAGTCTGGTCCTCTACCGAGTGCTGCCGGCTCAGGAAGTCTACGGGACAAAGCTTCGGGAATCGGGCCGGCCCCTACGCTACCGTTTCAACGCATTCAACACCTCGGTCGCTGAGCTGTCGGCATGCGCGGTGGGCACGTATCTGTACGGGGCTGACTGGGCACTGTGGACCTTCATCAGCGAGAACTACCTACAGCTCCTCACTGTCAACATCATCTTCGCGTTTGCCATCTCGGTTTATGTCTATGCTCGGAGCTTCGAGGTCGTCACTGGGAACAGCGAGCTGAGGGAGCTCGCCGTCGGGGGCCACACCGGCAGCGTCATCTACGACTTTTACATCGGGCGCGAGCTGAACCCCCGTGTCACGTTGCCCCTGGTTGGCGAGCTCGACCTCAAGGCCTGGCTGGAAATGCGCCCTGGCCTCACGGGGTGGGTCATCCTCGACCTGGCCTTTGTCGCTCAGCAGTACCGCACCTACGGCTACGTCTCCGACAGCATCGCCCTCACGGCGGCGGTCCAGACCTTCTATGTCCTGTACGGGCAGTATGCCGAAGAAAGGCTCCTGGCCATGATGGACATCATCACCGACGGGCTGGGGTTCATGCTCACGTTCGGGGATATCGCGTGGGTGCCGTTCCTTTATTCGACGCAGTGCCGCTACCTCGCCGCCCACCCGGTGCAGCTGGGCGCGGCGGGGTTGGCCGCGGCGGGCGTGGTGTTCGCGCTGGGTCTGTACATCTTCCGGGCCTCGAACCTGCAAAAGAACGTGTTCAGGAAGAACCCAGAGGACCCATCTGTGAGAGGAATGTCGTACATCCAGACCAAGCGGGGCACGCGCCTGCTGGCGGCCGGGTGGTGGGGCACGAGCCGGCACATCAACTATTTTGGGGACTGGCTCCAGGCGCTGCCCTTCAGTCTTCCCACCGGCATCGCAGGATACGTCATCCTGCCTGCAGGAAGCGTTGTCGCGGGTGGGCTGTCTGGCTCCGGCGAGGCGGCTAGCGTCATGCTCGACGGTCGACAGGTCATCCAGGGTGCAGCCAAGGGCTGGGGGATGGTGTTCACGTACTTTTACGTCCTGTACTTTGCCATCCTGCTCATCCACCGCGAGGGGAGGGACGACAAGGCCTGTTCGGAGAAGTATGGCGAGGACTGGGACAGATACAGGAGGGCCGTCAGGTGGCGGATTCTGCCATATGTGTACTGATTGAAAAGCTGCGATGAACGTACTGTACTAGACAGTCTAGACTAGATGCATCCGGCCCGGGGTGACGATGCGGTCAGAGGCAGGCAGGGCGAGCAGCCAGCCTGTCAGTCTGTCGGTCTGTGTGTCGGTCGGCTCATGCATGGTGGCGACAAGGGCCAAGGGCCGACACAGAGAAGCCGGGACCGGTTGGCATTCAATTCTCACAAGCCGTCAAATGCGGGTGCGGTGCGGAGAAGAAATGGACTCGGCCAGCAGTGAGATCAGTGCAGTGCATTGCATTGCATGAGACGGGGAGTCATGGTCATAGCAGCAGTCATTGCAGTCATCGATCAGTCATTCATCAGACCAACAACAAGCAGCAGCAGCAGCACCAGCAGCAGCTACCAGGCAAGAATCATCATCATCGTCTTCTTCTCAGGCCGCACACCAGCATGCACGATGGGGTATGGCTGGATCCCTGTGGCCTCACCGTCTCTTGTCAAACGTGCACGCTGGCAGGATCCACCGGCCCACTGGGCCCAGTCTTACCCGGCGCGTGTGCCATAGAAAAAACAAAAGAGAAAAAAAGAGAGAGGCTGTTAGCAGCCCTGCCAGCCCGCCAGCCTGCAGGCGGCTGCTCTTCTCGCACGAGGGCCGGGGCACTGGACAAGGGCGGAAGGGGGGTCGCTGGGGTACTTCTCGGAGGACAAGGAAGGCAAAAAACTCTGCACCCTCCCGGCTCGCTCCACTCTTGTCCCAGCCAAAAATTGCATCTGTCAACTTGCAGCAATTTGAATGGCCCGGGACATGGGCCCCTGCTCACCGTCTCCCCCCGTCGCCGTTGCCAGCAGCCCATCAGGAGGTGTGACTCCTCGAGGTTGCTCGACGTGCCGGGGCGATCCTCGACTCTTCATTGCTCGTCCTCGAGGGACTGTGAAACAGCTTCACTGCCCCCGGAGCGCCAAAACGGCGCCCGTCGTGCAGTCGGTGCTGTCATTGGCAATCTTGACAGGCCCTCACCGAGTCGCAAGCGGATCCCTCGACTCGGTACAGACCTCCAGAACAGGGCATCATTTCATGGCAATGTGAAGATCGCACGTGCCCACGCTCCACCCTCGCTCCACCCGCCCCGTTCTGCACACGCGAGCTGGCCCTGCTGGCCCAGAACTGCAGTCTCGGGCCCCATCCTGCGCGTTCGCAAGCTCCGTCTGCCTCCAGTCACCGCCAGGGTGGTTCGTCCAGGGTTTTCCGTTCGTCTTTTTTTTTTTGAAAATTGAGAGAGGGCATGGGGAGCACAGACGCCCGGAGTTCATGATTCACGGATATATAACCGCAGGGCGTCATGCTCGAGGGACCTCGAACCCTCGGCCTCTATTGTTCACTATCTTGGCGCATTTGACTTGTTTTCTACCTGTTTTTCCCGTCTGGGCCTGTTTCTTGTCTTATTTCCACATCACGACGGACTTCCATCCCCATCACGACCACGTCCACGACCACGAACTTTCCAACGGACCGAAACTCACCAGCGAAGAGAACCCAGCCAGCACCTCACTGAAACGAAGAAGGAAAGGGGCATATCACACATACGCCCGTCTCACACATCTACCACACAACACACAAGATGTTCGGCCGATCGAGAAAGGCGAGCGTCTCGCAGACCACCACCAAATCGAAGCCTCCATCCACGGCCGTGACACGGGACTCGGGCGTCTCCAAGCGTCGACCCTCCACTGCCAGTGTTTCTCGCCGCCGGCCATCCAACGCCTGCTCCGCTCAGAGCCTAGTGGACCCTTCCGGAAAGTGGGTAACACCCTGAGGCTCACCTGCATGCGTAGTTCTATGAAATGCTGACATCGCCCCCCTCGTAGCAACTCGCCCATCATCACCCTGGTTGTCGGCCGCGAGGCACGCATCTTTGCCGCCCATGAGGAGGTCCTGACCAAGTCGCCCGTCCTGGCTGCCCGCCTGCGCTCGCAGTACATGGAGCCCACGGGCAAGCGCATCACCCTGCCGGACGAGGAGCCCGAGGTGCTCTCGCCCATCCTCGAGTACCTGTACAAGGGCGACTACTCCCCCAGACTGGTCCACAACAAGCGCCGGGACACATGGGAGATCGAGAGCAACGACGAGGCCACCATCTTCCACCAGGCCACCGGCGCCGAGATCCTCAAGGACACCGTCATCTACTGTGCCGCCGAGAAGTACAAGCTGGATGAGCTCAAGCGCATCGCTCTGCGCAAGCAGGGGCTCCGTAAGTTTGCACTCTGCCAGTCATCTTCAGCGCGCCGCCTTCACTTCCTTACTGACATCAGGCCCGTTAGGCACCGGCATCCCCTGCGGCACCATCCTGTCCTCGGCCCGCTTCGCCTACGCCAACACGTCCGACTCGGACTCCAAGCTCAGGGCTCACTACCTCGCCCTCATCATCCGCAGCCGCTCCACCTTCAAGCGCAGCGGAACCATGCAGCAGGAGATGTTCGACGGCGGCTCCCAGCTCTTCTTCGACCTGTTCGTCGCCCTGGCCAACCACGTCGACGACATTCAGAGCCCTCGGGGCACGCCTCGCAGCGGCACCCCCAAGAACGGCTTCTTCTAAGATTAGAAGCACATCGATGTTTTTCTCATCACCATCTGTCCACTTTTCCTGTTCGCGGCTTTCCTCCGCGCTCTCCTCTCATCTCTCAGTTCAGCTTTTCCTTTTCGTGTGCTGGAAATACCCCTCTACGCATCTTGTCTCGTTGCTTTCTGATTTCCGCACTGAAATTTCTCGTCGTTTTTACTCCGTCAACGTTGTTGCTCATGCTCTTCATGCTCTTGATGATTTTCTGTCTTGTTTCACACCTGTCTTGCTTTCTTAGTTCTGCCTCGCGGGTTTACGGCACTGCTTGATGGATCTCGGGGCATCTACAGGCGTTTCTGCTTTTCTCATGGTCTGCGGCATCATACCACATACCCTTTATACCCAGTCGTTCGCATTTTTTGCACTTGGTTTGCGATTTCTAGACCAGAACACTGTATCACCACCTTTTTTCACACTTCGGTCGGGGGCGGGGCTTGGAAAAAAAAAAAGACTTCATGGTTCACATCGACCTCTTCTCTTTTTCTTACGAAGCACGGTTTCACGAATGGGATTTCTGGACGACCACAAAAAAAACGGGAGGGTTTTGGCGGGTGAGGAGCTACGTGGATCACATGTAATAATAATGATACCCTTTCATGCCACTAGCTAGAGAAGGCGGTGCTCTGGTAGCGCGCCTGTGTTGATGAATTGTATCGCGTTTCCTTACATACACTATTTATCTGCACGTGCACATGAAGGTCACTGCTGTGCCAGTTGGTCAAAATCACGTCTAGACTTTGTGAGAATGCTGTCATCGACCGACAACGCTTAAAGTCCTCTCACACCCAAGCTAGCGGTAACAGAGGGTAACCCAAGGTGCGGCACGACGCATGGTAGACTGGGAGGTCAAGGGTCCGGGGTCAGCGCGGCGAGTCCAAGGGTCGCGAAGTCCCGGGACACAAGTGGTGGTGGCGATGAGCCCCGGTGAGACTCGGTCTGCACCCGGGGGCAGAAGGTCCCCTGAGAAGCAGGCTTCCGGGCCCCTATCCCCCCCCCCCCCAAAGGACAGCACCCTAGCAGTCTGGCAGCTGGCAGGCCGGAAAGATCTTCTGTCGTCCCCTTCTCATTTCCAAACTTTTCCGCATCCTTGTCGGGCGAAGATTGTACGCCCGTCGAACCTTGGGATTGTTCCCGGCATCCGGGTCCGGGGACCCTTTCCGTGCTGGTTTCATCCCGGACCCTGGCACACGGTAATCCCGAGCGCTGAGCGTTCAATGATCTGCAAATTGATTAGTGCAGTCTAGGTGAGGTAGCCAGGGGGGCCGGCTGCCCTTCACCGAGGGTCCTGAGTCGAGCTGAGAGACTGCCGATGACTAAATACTGAGAAATCTTCTCGTGTGCGTGCCTGTGAATATCGAACTCACTTTCTAGGTTGGGTTGGGTCACGAGAAATATCCGGCACATCCGCGTGCACGAGCGCACAAGCGAGCACGCCCACAAACCTTGTCACCGTGTCCGCCTGTGCGCGACAGGGAACATACCCTTCCCACGCCCCAGTCAGTCAGTTAGCGAGCCTTCTTCCCCCACGCACCACTGATGTACGTAAGCACACCCACACAAGAAAAGTCCGTGTCATCGCTGCCACGACATCCATGTCCGTACCCACACCCTTGCATGAACCCACCGCGAGCTCTAGGGCCCACCTGAATGGGTCGTCGGGGAACTTCTGGGGGGGGCTCCCGCCGGGCGTGGCGCCCGAATATCTATTGTGGAGCGTATTCCGTATTCCGACTTCCTTTTTAGACGCTGCCTGGGCCTCGGGCCGTGATTCTCGAAGGAACATTCCGCGACCTTCAAATGGCAATACGACCGCGGGCAGCGGGCTCCGGCGGCGAAAGCGAGGGCGAGCATCACCCCAGGCCCCTGGACGAGAGACCTGTTGCGCACAGAAAAAGCAGCTCCCGCCAGATTTCAGGGACCACAATATAGTATGGGCAATAAGCAACACAAATGAATGATTGCCCTGTTTGCCATATTATTGGTAATGACATTGCCACTGGTAACTAATCGCCGCTTGAGAGAACGAGGCTGTAAAGGCACTGGAGACCGAGCCAAGTCGGTCGCACTCGGTCACGCTTCCCGCCCAGGCAGACGCCCACTGACGCCGATGGCCTCCGTTTCCTTCCGCGCGCGCTTTGGGGCGAATTCTCCCGGTTCAATAAGCTCACGACTGCCTGTCAGATTTTGTATGCTTGAGTCATTGCGGCTGGACCTCGGCAGGGCTTGTTCTGACACGGGGCTGTCTTCCTTGTTTTGCCCTTGGCTCGTGTCGTGGTCAGATACACTCACTGCACACGGCTGCCAGACAGGGCTGACGTGAAATTTCCGGGCCGTCACGGATGGTGTTTGTATTGGCGTGCCAGTTACTACTTGGACGAGGCTACTTCCCTACATCCTGTTCGACGATGACTCACCCCCTGTAACCATGGCTGTTTTCAATCTTGAACATAGGGCACGTTGCAAAATCTCAGTGAACATGGTTACTGCGGCGGATACGATTGAGATGACCTAGTAAACCGCAAGAAACTACCCACCACCCAACACATCTCGCGTTGGTCTTGTTTGTTTCTCGGGCTTTGTTCTTGTGGCTTTTAGTGGAAGTTCCACCCAGTGAGCCCAGGATGTCTTGTGTATATAGCTCTGACACGAGGAGTGTCTTACAAGGCCGGTGCTTCCATTCTCAGGAGGTTTGAGGTTATAACGAGGGGAAACGATATGATAGAGGCTATGCAGCTGGCCGAATCTGCTTCTCAAGCCCTCATCCTCCAGTCTCCTGTTCACAGGTTTTGCGGAACTTTTGTAGAAAGTGCTGTATATTTGATGGGCTCATTTACGAGGAGAGTAACGAATTGAGATTTGTTCATAGAGACATCATTTTCAGGATTTCGATGGATACTGTGTGTTATTCACAGTTTATTGAGTCCCTATGCCACGAATGAGGGATGGATAGCACCAGGAGAAGAAACAATACCCATGATGCCTTGTGAGTTTCGTTTTCCAAACGAAAATGGCTCTCACTGTGCGTCACTATCACCTCTCGAGTGTGGCATGGTTGTAGTAGCAGACAGAATTTCAAAGTACCTAGGGTTGTTTTCTCGCCTCTTCTGTTCCGGCAGAATCGCGTTCTTAAAAATCAGAATCTAGGGTTGGCCAAGCAAGAATGAAGACTAAGAATACTAAGAGGTTACGAGGTACCACCCACGAAATTGTAATCTACGCCAAGGACATCTACTCGTCCCACTGTACCTTCAACGTGCTAGGAAGCGGCCAGAAAGAACTCTGATCAGCCGTCATGTAGGTCCTGAGGCCCGTCCATCCCGCGTCAGGGTTCCGTGTGCTACCGACCTGACCGTTCCAGAATGCGGCAGGAAAAGACTTGACCTCCCCCTTCCTACCCGGGGCGCGTCGCAGGTTTTTCAGGCCGACAATCTTCTTGAAGACGACGGCCAGCCCAACTATGCTCATGTCCTGTCCCAGACAGAGATGCGGGCCCCAGCCGAAGTGGATGTAGTTCTTGGTCGGGCGGTCAAGACGTACGGTCTCCGGTTCAGGGAAGACCGTACCATCGTGATTCGCCGCGGTGAGGTTCAGAAGGAGTCGCGTGCCTGCTTTGAGTTCATAGGTGGTGCCACTTCCGCCCGGGTTTGCGTTGGACAGCGGGTTCAGACCATCAGGATCGGACGGGTCAGGTTGAGACGGAGAAAAGTCTCGGACGGCCTGGTCTTTGACCACTTCTCTGGTTATGGCTACTGTTCCACGAAGACGAACGCCCTCGAGCATGCTGTGCGGCAGTCAGAACACGACATCCTACTTGAGGCAGGTCTAAGACGGGACAGCAGTCGACTTACTACTTCTTCAATTTCTCATTGGCGTCTTCCGTGTCCTGGTGTGCAAGGGCGTACATGACAGGCAGGTGCTCCTTCCCGTCACCGAGGTAGTAGTCGACGGCTTGGCTCAATACTTGAGTCTGGTTTGCGCAGGCGGCCACCGACGCGGGCAGGACTGAGCCCCACACAACGTCCTCCGGCGTGGCACCGCTCTCGCTAAGCATGCGCTTAATCATGCGGTCGCCGTAGAGTGCAAGCGCAGGCCACTCAGGCTCCGGGCCTGAGTTCGCCTTCCTGGTCCCGTTCCCATTGACAATGTGCCCGATGGCGGCGATGCTCTCCTTGACTGTGTCCAACACCGCCGCGACGATCCCATCCCCAGTGTCCAACAGCTTGGCTTTCAGCGCCATCAGCTTGCCGAGTTGCTGTGCCAACACGCGGGCCTGTGAACGCAACTTGTACGAGTTGGCGATGTCGGCATCGAAGAATATGGCTGCAAAACCGGCCAGCAGCACGTTGTAGAGCTGGTGCTCGGTGTATATACCGTGAGGATGCTCCTCCGTCTTGATGGGTAGAGACCACAAGGCAGCGCTGAAATGTGTTGTTGCCAAGGAGATGACGTCCCGCACAATATCGACCTCGTGCGTGCGCCCTTCTGGCGACTCCGAGACAGAATAACCGTTCTCTCTCAAGAGCCGATCTGACGTGGCGGCGAAGAAGGCCTTGACGTCATTTTCCCATTTGTTAGGATAGAGACATTTCTTGACATAGTCATGGTTGGACCTGTTGGCATTGCGATCGCCACTGAGGCAGAAATCCGCACTCACTCCCGGAGCATCGTCGTTCTGTGTCAAGGAGGTGATAGCCTCTCCCCACACTACCTTGAAGTTCCTGTCGTCGTTCAGAATCTGTGTGCAGGCCTTGTAGGATTTGATCATGACCGGGGATTGGTGTGCGCGAGGCGCCGCCCAACTATACCGGCTCCTTGTTCCCAGACTCTCATGAATCTTCTCGTTTTCGGAAGGGGTTACCAGAGGGAAGTGTGCGTATATGCTGTTGTTCACAAAGTGATTTGGGAAAGCCCTGAATATGAGCTTATGCAGGACTTGGCCGCCGTCGACCGCAGTGTCATAGTTCGCTTCGTTGAATCCCCAGTTGGTGAGAGCCTTGGGCGTGTAGTCGACGGTGTAGAACCGGTCTCCGCGTACCAACGCCACAGCATCAGACAGGATCGCCGTTGTCATGGTGACATTTCCGCACAGGCCACTCCCTGGAGACATTGGGGGCTTTGTCTTTTCGGCCACTATGCCAGGGTACATCTCAACATTATCGGGAGAATCGTACAGCTGTTTCAAATGTGCCGCAACGTCCGGGTCCGGATTGATGTCTTCAAAGCTTGCGTGTCTCGTAAGTCCCACAAACTCTCTGAACTCGTTCAAGGTGCCCATGTTCCAATGGCGTGCTTGTATGATCCCGAGCATCTCGATAGACTTCATACAGCGTGGGACCCTGTTGGCTCCGTACGATCCAGCAACATCCTCGATCGATTCGGTCAATATCTTGGCCATCTCATGGTCCGGAAAAGTCCCATCTGGAAGCCTTGTGAGATGCTCGAATGTCCTGGCCTCTGGCTGCGGAGGTATGTTGGCCTGCCACTCCCCCAGAGCTCGCAGGACCTCTTCCACGCTGGCTGTCTCGGGGTTTTTATCTTTCAGGAGTCGTTTCATCTCCGCGATGGTCCATTGCTCGTCCCTCAGGGAGATGGTGCTGTGCCAACGGTAAATGAGGTTGAACTCGGCCGACACGTGGTTCCCAACCCCTTCCGGAACGGACTTGCTGAACAAATCCTTACCCTCCTTTGTGCGAGGATCAAGAGACCAACTCGAGTTTGTCCGATTCAAGGCCAAGATTGTGCGGACGTAGTCCTTCATGATAATGTTGATGTACAGTCCAGACGTCACCAACCTGCTCGTTTGGAACAGGTCCTCGTCATATTTTGCCCAAGCTTCCTTGTCCCCATCGTTGGGCTTGTTGAAGCGGCCCGCTTCGTTAATTCTAGTGAAACAATTTCACGTCAGATCTGCGATCCCCCACACAGTGACTTCTAGGATAAGTTGGACTCCTGCAGTTCAAGCCCCCATTCTCTGATGGGAGACGAGAATTGTAAGAGAATATAGGGAACGATGATGAGAACATTACTCACAGTGCTAGCTGCGTGGCGACGTAGTTGTGAAAGCGATTGAACATGACCAGAAACACACCGCAGCCCGGTGGGAATCCCAGAATCCGAGCTGAACTGAAACAGTCGGGCTTCAGGAGGCCATCCTGGAAAGTCCTCATCAATTTGACCTCGTCCACATTCCGCCCGTACAGTGGTGACAAGTCCAGGTAAGATGACGCGAGGTTGACATTGTAGTCTCTGTGAGAGGTCTGGAATATGTCGTGGATGATAATGGTGGCGAGATAGAACAGCATGCTGGAAATGCCTTGGGGGTGTGGTTCAAATTTGGTGCCACGTGCCACTGCCTTCGAATTAGTGACCTGGAATTCTGTGGGTAGTTGCCAAATCTACAAGGGGGGAGGGTTTGTCCTCACTGAGTCTCTCAAAGACAATGCCTGGTTCAGGTAGGTCCGGATTCTGGAAGACTGCAGGTTTCACCGACCTCGCGTAGGCTGTATTGGCAGCGCCAAGCTGGGGAGCATGGACGTTGTTGTAGGACCCGTCCGCCCGGCGATACTTGTACTGGCCCCCCAGTGAGGAGACCGGGGGGTGATCAAGTGTCGTCCACAGCTGGTTGATGAAGCCATCGCTGAGCCCTTTCATCTGCTTAGAGTGAGGCGGCAGTTTGGCGAGGAGTTGAACAAGCCGCTCAAGGAGGAGGTGGTTGTCGTCGTTGGTGCCCGTGACAGACGCGTTGAGAAACTGCACGAGTGTTCCGTAGTCCTTGAACCCCAGGGCCTGTATGTCCGCGATGAGTCCTGTCTGCGAAACGTCGTCATCTTTCGCTGATGCATTGGAACTCTTGTCGAGTGGAGCAAGAGAAGCCCGCACCGTCTCGATGAGCGAGGACAGCCTGCCATCGGCGGAGGTAGACATGATTGGCGACAGCTAGGGTGCTCGATACTGAAGAATTAATACGAAGTACATGTGTTCTGCTGCAGATGGGTTTTTTTCATGAGAAGATAAAGGACCAGGAGAGCCTTGAGGTTTTGTTGTTTCCATTTTGGAATCCTGTTCAGGGAATCTTTACTACGCCTTACTCCGGGCCCACATCAACAGGATGGGATCGCTCCTGCATGTGAACATTGAGCACTTCGCCCCTGCCCGCTGGCTTGAGCAGGGAAACCGGCCAGGATCACCAGCGTGATGGAAGCCACAGCCCGGTCTAGCCAGGTATGTAGAGAAAGCCTAGACTACAAGGAGGCTGCTCCGCTTGGCAGCCTTCCAACACACGCAGCCTAGAGGTACGCTCGGTTTGGGAGTACACCCTACATTATGTATTCCGAGCCATCGCAGGATTTCTTCCCCAGACCCCCGTCAGCTGATTGGCAGGCCCTTGCGAGCCAGTGACTTCCCCATGTGTGAGTGACTGGCATACTAAATGCCACGGTAGGGTCGCAACGGCCCGCATCATGCGGGTTCGCCGCCTCGCGAGCTTGATGTCTGCCCAATCAAGGACCAGATGATCAAATCTGGTGGAACCATGTCTCACATCGATGCAGATTGCTGACTTCAAGGCAAGACTTCAGCTGCACGTTGCCGGGGACGTTACTTGATACGGAAGCATGGTCATCTTTTCAGCGGAGCATCCAAGACTATTTGGAACAAGTCAAGTCAAGTGATGCAACTCCAGTGCATCCAGCCTTCTAATTTCGGGGCTGAGATGAGGCCGACAAGCCTCCAGGCAGGCATGACCCCACGCATGAACAGGAACCTCCCACCATGTGCTAGCTGCTCCATTTTCGTAGCTGGTCTGCGTCCACACATGCATCCGCCTGCGAGAGGTGAGAAAGCACGAAGGAGCACGCTGCGGCGACAAGTGGAGTGCACCTCGAGAGCGTGCATCCTGATCAAGCCAGTCGCATCCAACAAGAGAGCTAGCTAGACAAAGAGGGTGCCTCGCGGCCGCTTGAGACTTGGTGGTCAAGTGACGGTCTCGCCAGGAGCTGACTGTTGTCAATGGTATCTGGCATCCGTGGGCTTGCCTTCGCGCCGCTCGTTCAGTACGGGGCGTGTGACTTGCCGCCGTGACACCCTGCGGCGACCTGCACAGCAGACCGAGGCGTTCACGACGAGGGAGCAGTGCTTGGCCGCTGCCTGGCGACCATGGGCGATACTATGCCCCTTCCGGCAGTAAGCACGCCTGCCTTGCGCAGGGTGGCGACGGTGCTGTCCACCACGCCCAAGTCCACGCCCTCGGTGCGGGTGGGAAACCTGACCGTCTTCAGCCACTCCCTGGCGTCCTCCTCGGAGTAGTCCAGCTCGGTGCTGATGTACTCGACGGCCTCTTCGTGGTTGGCGTTGAAGTGTTGGATGCCCTTGTCGAGCTTCTCGAACAGGTTGTGCAGCCTGAGGTCGAGCTGGCCGTCGCGGACCAGCTTGGTGCCCGCGACGATCTTCCAGCTGCTCCAGGGGGTGTATATCTCGCCGACCTTGCGGATCTCGCCCGAGTCGTAGTACCGCTTGGAGGTGAAGTGCTCCCACATGAAAAAGTCTGCCTCGCCCGAGTTGACTGCCTTGCGCAGATTCTCGAAGGTGTTGAGGACGACAAAGCCGGAGTAGGGGGAGGAGGACGTCGAGGATTCCGCGGGTTTCTGGGTCAGCCATCCCTGTTGGTCTGCGAGCACAAAACCCATCACGTAGGAGCCGGAGCCCAGGCGGGAGACGCCAATCTTGCGGCCGTTGAGGGAATCGATGCTCGAGATTTCGGGCCGCGCTGCTCCTGTGGATACCGCCCAGCCTGTCGGGCCCGGTTGCGTTAGCCAGCCGGTCGTCACATGTGTACTATTACGCCTCCGAGCGGCAGAGAGATCGGGTTGTAGTGCAGGTGAGATTCGACGACATACACAAGGGCGTCTCGACGTAGGTGCCCACCAGTCGGTAGCCGCCGTCCCCTTGGACGTCGTCCTTCCCCAGGCCGGCGACCCACCCCTCGGTCAAGCCGATGCCGACATCGATCTCGTTGGAGCGGAGGGCCGTGATCATGTGGCCAGTGCCGGAGGGGAAGGGGACCAGCTTGGCATCAAGGCCGAAGTGCTTGCTGGCGAAGTGGATCGGGGTGGAAAAATGCTCGGGCACGTAGCCGACCCGGAGCGGGGCAGAGGCCATGGCGGATGCGGATGCGGATGCGGATGCTGGTGCGGATGTACTCGACCAGGTGTATGGATTTGTGTTCAAGCTGTCCTGACGAAGGATTCGGTGAAGATCTCGAGCCGGGAGGCGGATGTGTCGGGTCCAACGTGGGCCTGCAGGTGCTGAAGAGTCTGGGGGCTTGAGGCTCAATTCAGGTACGTAAACATCGAGCTGTCATGCCGTGGGATTTTTGGAAGGGATCACCCCTGTGGCAGATGCCTCGGGGAGCTCGGCAGCCACGGGAGAGGGCCAGGCCTGCAAGCTAAGCTCGCTAATGACGCTGACACTTCTACTGTTCTACTGTATTCCGTACGTGCAGCAGACATCTACTACAACACTATCGCTGCACGTACCGTGCGTGGTCTAGGTAGTGGGTGACAGTGAGGATGGCCCACCTAAGCAAGCCACATGTGGGGGCCTCAGCCCCATAACCTACCCATAGACGACCGCGGTCTCTAAGCTCTTTCTCATAGATCAAGCCAGTTCTGATTACGTTCACGCATCGCCACAAGTAAACATTGATATTCTGAAGTTGTTTTATTTCGTTTCCTAGAAATACCAGGCGCAAGATGCCGTGCTGTATTCGGGCCATTTGGCGTGCAGTCAGGTACCTCTCAAGAGGCGGCCCGGTGCACCCGCCAGGGAAACCCCTTGGGGACGGGGAGAACCTGGCGGCTGTTGAAAAACAATAATTATCTAACCCTCTTGGAAAACAGTTGCTTATTCCCAGAATTCGTCCGTCCACGACTCCGGCCATTTGACTTTGAAATGATAGAAATCCCTCATCCCCATTAATGCCTCCCACACAAAGTTGCTCAGATGAGGCGGGTCGCTGGCCACCAGCTCTGCAGCAGCCTCGTCCGCCCGAGTCACTAATGTAAGTCGCATGAGCAGCCTCAGTCCCATCGAGGCGGCGCCGGCAGTGACCCCGGACATGCCGACGGGCTCCAGTGTTGTAGGATGGTAGTGGGTCCACCCCGGCATCCCGGTCCGCTGATAACGCTGCCACAAGACCTTCTTCCACTCGGTGTTGTCCACGCTCATTCTGAAGAAAGCGCGTAACGCCCAGACCACCACACTAAACACAATTTGAAATTCGTTATTCTCCACCATGTCGTAGCGGCTGAAGAAGTCTCTCGCCATCGCCAGGCGGTGGTTCTGTCCGAGGTCGACGAATCCATCGTCCTCCGGGGTCGCCCTCGGGGCGTAAAGTCGGCAGCATATCTGGAACTGGTAAAGCGTGTGCATGATTCGCTGCCTTTCGGTGAGGGTTATGCTGCGGGCTTGGGAAAGGTAATTCCACTTGTCGTTATCTTTGATGTCGTCTGGCCGAACTGGGAATGCTTCGGAGAACAGTGTCGTAAGCGGTCGGACCGCCTGGGCGTGGAACGACAAGATTCGTGAGAAGTCCTCCGCCGTGAGGAGGCCCCGCATGTATTTGACTTGATCTTCTGTGTCGTCCATGGCTAGCTTGTCGTAGTCGTAAAGGAATTTGAGCTGGATGTGCCGATAGGGTCCTCCAGGCCATGGCTGCGCATCGACGGCGTCGCTGGTCTCGACTTCGGTTTCTGTGGGTTGCTGGCTGCCGAGATTGCTTTGCCACTGAAGCAGCGTAGAGCTTTCAATGTCATCTTCGTCTTCTGTGTAGTTGTTGATATTGTGTTCCCAGTGGTGTAGCATGCAGGCGTCGACAAACAGGTCGCCCAGTGTGGCTTGAGTCACCTCGGAAAGGATGAGCTTCCTGTGTCTGAGGTATGTCGCGTGATAGGACCGGGATGCGATGGTCAGTGATGTCAGGTCCTCGCAGCTTGCGAGGTTTCCGAGGATAGCAAGCTGCAGCTCAACCGGCAACAGCTCGAGCCTGGGCTGCCTTTGCTTCTGCTTCTGTCTTGTCCTTGCCATGGCTGTTCTGTTGACAAGCTGATGTTGATAGAGTTGATGTTGATAGAATAGATGTTGATAGAGTTGTTGTTGGCAACTTGAAGTTGAGTTTTGACAAGTTGATGTCGACAGAATTGAATGTTGGTGAGAGTTTGTGTGAGAATAGTTGTGTGAGTGAGTGTTTCGTTTTGTTTTGTTTTGTTTGTTTTGAAGTAGATTCTTCAGATAAGGTGGGTGGTGGGGGAGAGAGAGAAACTCGAGATGTGCCAGGGGGTCATGACTATTTATATGATTTGATGAGAACCTACATGTCCAGTTGAGTCAACTAAGAAGAAACTACCTAGGTAGCTGGATTTCTAGTACACTTGGGAACCTTGAAGTCCTGGATCAAAGTCCATCAATGTTCATGAGTCATCGTGGGAATAAAAGACTAAGAGATTCTACAATTTCAACTCCAAACAAGGTCATAGGTTTTCTTATCACAAGGGCTGTGTTCTTCCGTCGAGTAGACTTCGTTAACGAAAGCCCGAAGGCGTATTATCGACGGAGAAGGTCTTCAGGTGCTGGCTCAAATTCTATTCGTACATTTGCAACCACTGGTCAATGTTGACCGTTTGAGCATGATCGTATCGCGCCGAGGACCTTGAGGGCTTCGGGCCCCATGGGCCAGCAGCACGGGCCTGGAAATAAATAAAATGTCTGTCTAGTCAGGCCTAAGGTGGACATGGTTCGAAATATGTCGAGACGGATCATCCATTCGTGTTCCTGTTTGAGCAAACATTGCCATGATGTGATTAGACTAGTAGTGGCTTGAGAAGAGAAGACGTGTGGCCATAACGCACGTGCAAATCACGGTGGGATGCAAAAAAGCCAGGCCTGAGAACGCTCAAGTCGGAAACACATCAATCTGAGAAAATCGTCGGTGCATCATGGCCGCACGAGAAGAAGTCTTGCTTGAAAGAATAAATTTATAGGAAATACATGAGGACTATTTCCTGGCTTGATGCCATCGCATAAACACTCTGTAAACCTGTGAGAAAGCGTTTATACCATCGTCCTTGCGGTGTTTCCGAAGTTTCATGAGGTTAACGTCTTCCTATGGAGTCGGTCTTGATATTCTACTTGTTGATCCACTTTGCCATACTACTACGCGTATCCGATCGAACCAACCGGTGGGATGCCATAGCGCAGACCAGAGACGGGTCAGTGCGGGGACAACAACCAGAATTCGAACCAGTCAACTATTGCTCGTAGGCTTTGCTCCTTGCACCATCCTGAAAAATGTCAGCAAGTGAAAGACATCCCGCCTCTGTATCGAATCTGGGCCATACGTTGGTAAGGGTCGGCTGGATCGCCTCTGACTGCGAAACCATGCGCCGCGCCTTGGAACAGTTGCATGTGGTACCTCTTTTTCTCCCTCTGCAGGATGTCAAGAGCCTTTCTCCTCGAGCCAGTATCGAACGCGTGATCATTCTCAGCACAAGACATTAGAAGCGGCTCTGCACGCGTCAGCACTCGGCCGGAAGCCCCGCTAGGCCTGAGAAGCAAGGAACCGGGATAGACTCACGCCTCAAGCTCAAGAAGTGTTCTTCCTTCAACGCCGTTGGGTGTGCGAATGCGCCGGCTGAAATGCTGTCACCGGCGAGCAAGTTACACACGAACGGAGCCCCGAAGCAGTAGCCGGTGCAGGCATACTTGGTCGTTTCACTGCCGTACTTGGCCTTGACAGCATCAAACCACTTGGGAACATTTTCGTTTGCAAAGTTCCAATGCTTTTCGCGCCAGGCGGCGCGGTCGAAGCCTTCTGGGGCAGGGTCACTCATCGACTGGCGGTACTTGGACATTGGGTCCTGGGAGGCCAAAGGTCAGTATATTACTAGTACATGCTTTTACTGCTTCTCAGGTCACCGCATAAACTATCATGCTCCTTGCCGAGACCATCATAGGGCATCATGTCAGGATGGCATCGCCGCGCTGGTTCATACGCACGCCCCTGAAGTAATCCATTCCCAGCGTCAAGAAGCCGGCATCCGCAAAGGCGTCCATCAGCAGCTGGGCGTTGTTGGACATGCCCCATATATCCGGGAAGTACAGGATAATGTGGCCATTTGCCCTTTCTGGCGTAGGCCTCGAGACGTATGTGGGGACATCGAGGATCGTCTCCAGGTTGCCACACGGCGTCCCCTCGTGGATCGTGCCGAGCCAGCAGGATGATGATGCCGGCTGGGCGAGGTACGTATCTTGTACTTCGGATTGCTTGGCTGCCATTGTGGGATACAAGTGTCTGTCTTGAGGAAATGTGTTGGTGATCTCTGCACTGCGGCACGGAGCGGGGTTGAATGATGCATTAGGTACTGTACATAGATTCAGAGACGTAACATCAGATTGGTGGGGGGCGCCGGGCTTCTTCCCGTGCCGTGGTCCCTGGTTCGTTAGGGTCTGTCTGTGCTGTGGGAGTGGATCGAGTGTGTGACCTATCGCTTGAGAGGTGGAACCTAGAATCTACAATAAGAGTTGGCAGGAATTATGTTGCAGCCTGCAGGCACCGGCCAAGCCGACTCGGGGTTGCTTCACCGACGCGCTTTTTTTTATTCAATGTGCCTCCCAACGTCGTATCCGTAAATCATTACCTGGATACTGTAGCTGTCTGCATCGGTTTTCTTTTGGTCCCGACTCCTGCAGCCGGCCGCGACGCTTGCCCCGGACCATGTCTGACGTGGACAACGCCGGGTACCGGCTTTTGTCGTTCAAGTATACCCCGACGAAGCCGGTAAAAAGAGACGACCAGGCGGGTGCTGACGACAAATCTGGTCATCACAACCACGACAAGACCCGCACTCCACCACGAACAACCGGCGGAGAATCAGAGTTGCCTTCGCTCTCGTCTCTCGCGGCGGCACTGCCAGCCGTCGATACCAAAACCCCATCACACGGCCAGGATGGGCCCAGCGTGTCGGACACGGATGAGGATGCAGAAACAGCAACAGATGCAGAGGGGGAAGGGGTAGCTGCCCCAGGTCCTCCAGTGCCCAGCTTTCACTTATTCGGGGATCTTCCTCCGGAGCTTCGCATCAAGATATGGCACCTGACCTTCCTGCCTCGCGTCGTCGAGCTGCATCCCACCAGGCCGAACTACGCCCGTGACATTGGCCGTCAGCAGCAGTGGCAGTCCGCCTGCAGCAACCCAGCAGCCTTATCCGTCTGCTCCGAGGCCCGCCAGATCGCCCTGGGCCACTTCCGCATCGCCTACCCTCTCGCCGCCATCACAGCCCAGCAGGAGGACACGCAGGCCCCGTTCTCCAGGTACGTTGTGGAGATCGGCACGTACAACTTCTCCGGCGCCAGCACCAATGGGAAGGCCAGCCTCCGCCGGCGCACGCTGCGCATCTCGCCCGACAACGACACGGTCGCGCTGCTTGGCCAGGACACCGACTTCGCCAAACTTTCACGGCTGCTCGACTCGTTCCGAGACGCCGACCCACAAGGGCTCGGCATAGGCAGCCTGGCGCTGAGCACAAGGGGCTGGGGCTACGGTGGATCAGCCGCCATGATGAGGGGCCTGGACCAAAGTATCTTGAAGGACCTGGACCAGTTGACGCTTTTTATATACGGGGAGCCACTGCCGCCCCCGGAGTGGACAGTCAAGGGGGCGAGCTTAGACGAGGAGTCCTTGAGGCGGTTCAGGGAGACCGGGAACCGGTGCGAGCTAGTCCCCTGCGAAGGCAGCAATGCTTGGTATGCATATAGGCTGTGGAGCGGTGGGAAGGGCCGGCAGTTCTGGGACAATGATGGGAAGATCATGCGAGTGGGAAGGAACGAGTTGAAAATCATGGACCTGAAGTTCTCGGACGGGTGGTGATCTCGGGCACTTGACGGGCTTATTTCTATTTGCCCGGTGTCGAAGTGTGCTTGTCTGTGCCCATTCGACGGCAGATCCCAGCGCGAATTTCAGTCCAGCTACGTAGGCCCCTGGATCTGTGTGAGCTGACCGGCATCGCTGGATATATGTTCATGCATACAGTGAGGAGGGGTGAGTGCTGCCTCTGTTGGTTTGACATGCGTGCAAGCGGAACCACGATGCCAGTCGTCCTCCTTGACTCCCCACGCTACTATAAATCTCGAGCACCATTTTACATAGAAACAAGCTTCAATTCCGATACCCCAGCTTCCAAGATGTTTCATAATTCATCGCAGATGGACAGCAGCTAGATGGACTGGTGATTCGAGATCTTGAGCGTCTATTTATTGATTACACGTCCACAAGGAAATATCTCCTCTAACACTAAAATCAAATGCCAACGGTCTAACCACAACTCCGCGCCCCAAAGTTCCATGCATTTCAAAGTTGGAAAACCAAACAGGTCATCTTTCTAATCACGCAGCAGCACCACCGGTGATGGCCGCGGTGTTCAACCGCTTCCACTTCGAGAACAGCACAACCACCAGAGCCATCGCCGTAGACGCAAGTGCGACCGCAAAGGAGATGTTCAACCCATGCATGTATGCCACCAATATACCAGGCAGCTCCTCTGGGGTGAATGCGTTTCGTAGCTCAGTCGCGCCAGTTGCAACAAGTCTCAAGGGGTCCACGCCAGGTGCCGAGTAGGGTATCGTCTTGATCAGCACGTTGACGAAGGCGGATTGCGAGGCGGAGACCAGGAATGCGCCGCCGACGGTCTGAAAGAACAGAATAATTGCTGTTACTTCCGCCAGATCTTCTGGTGGGGCAGAAGCTTGCCCGGTGATGATGGGAACCTGGAAGGCAAGCCCCCAGCCGATACCTCCTAGGATCTGGTATCCAATCCACTTCCCAGACGGAGTTCCGATGTCGAAGGTGTAGATCAATCCCGCTGCAATTGTCGCCAGAGCAGAGCCAAAGACCGCGACAGGAGTGGCGATGCCCGTCGCGGAGATGAAGGAACCACTGACGACGGTCGACACCGTGACAGCCAGGATCAGGGGCAGATTACGGACGCCGCTGTCAGTGGGGCTGACATTGTCGATGCTCTGGAAGTAGATGGGCAGGTAGTAGATGATCAAGAAGTAGGCACCTGCGAAGAAGAAGGCGAACAGAGATGACACGATGTACGCCCTGTTGCTGATGAGGCGGCGTGGCATCATTGCCCGGTCGTTCTGGAACCACTCCCATGCGGCGAAGACGGCCACGATGGCCACAAATCCAACAAGGAGGCCCACCACGATGGATGAGCTCCATGCATACGTAGTGCCACCATATTGCAGGGCGAGGATGTAGCTGATGACGGCGCCCATGATGAGGACCACGCCGACAATATCCATCTGCAAGAGCTTCTCGCGGAGGGGCGCAGCAACGGGTTTCGCCGCGCTCGGGGTCGTGAAGAAGAATAAGATGATCAGTCCAGAAAGGCCACCGATGGGAAGATTGATATAAAAACACCATCTCCAGCTGACCTTGTCCGCAAAGGCACCACCGATCAGGGGCCCGATGACGGACGCGATCCCGTAGCTCGCGCCGATGATGCCGGTGAACATGGGCCGCTTCTTGGGCTCGGCCGAGAAGGCGATGATCGTGTAGGCGCCGGTGGCGATGCCCGCGGCCCCAACGCCGGCAATGGCCCGGCCGACGATGAGGGCTTCGCTTGTGGGCGCGACTCCGCAGATCAGGGAGCCCAGTTCAAAGATGAAGATGGACAGCAGGAAGGTGATCTTGAGAGGAAAGTATTTGTAGGCCTTGCCCCACGCAGACTGGAAGCCGCCGAGAGTCATGAAGAAGGCCGAGCTATACCACGAGACGTCGTCAAGGCCATGAAATTCGTCCGTGATCTTCGGTATAGCTGTTGCAACGATTGTCTGAGAGGCATTCTGTCAGTCTACGTGTGTACTGGAGAAGGGTGTTTTCATGTTGCCATCACAGCAAGACGTACCATGTCAAGTGAGACCAAGAAGATGCTTAGGACCAGGGCGATGACAATGAACAGCAGCCTTGCTCCCGTCGGATACTCGCCAGGGCTGGCTTCGGTCGGTTCGGGCCCTGCCGGCCTTGCCTCTCCTGTCTCCTCATCGGTAACATTGCCGGGACCCTCCTTCTTCTCCTCGTAGTCGACGTCCGGGGCTGTCGACGGAGCACGTGTTGAAGCTTGCTCGAAGTCACTCTGTTCGCTCTTGGGGTCCAGGAACCCAGATGATGTTGATATCTGGTTGGGCTTGTCGCCATCAACCAAGGTATGTGTCGAGGTCATGGCCAAGTAATTTGTGCTGGTTCCGTTGGAACAAATCGATTGTTCTGAAATATTCGAGACGTGAAGCACACTGTGCTCCTGTTTCCGACAACCAACTAGGGAGGAGTTGGGTGTGTGCTGGGGTTACGACTCGGGCGAGTTGCTCAGCGAAGAAGAGCGAGAAGAGATATGCGCCTCTCTATGATGGTAGACTGCATGGCAAAGACCAAATTCAAGGGTAGGCAATGTAGACAACTAAATATAAGAGAAAAGAACGACAGCGACATCCGGGGATACGTGGGCATCACGGCGTGTAGAGCAGTCGCGTGGCCATTGCCCGCATAGTCGATATCCTACGGCTTACATGATGCCCGGAGCTATTGACGGTGCGCTCTGCGCAAGGGTGTGAGGCTCGGCCTGGGAGTCACCCCGTCGAAGACTAAGCAACCTCAAACGTCAAGGCTGCGGAGCAAGTCGAGTTGGGAAGTGCGAGCAATGCGGCCGATACGGCCTCCTCCCGTCATTTACCCCCGTCATGACGGCCACGGCAAAGCGTATAGATCCGTCCAATGGGGGGCTTTCGTCGGTCGAAGATTAGCAATCCTCAGAGGCTTGCCTCAGCCCTAGGGGGGGGGGGGCAGACGCTGTTGGGGGCCAACCACAGAGCTGGGACCCAATCACACGACGAACAGAAGGGCACTAGCTGACGCGGATAACGGCATCCCAGATCGAATTTACGGCCCGGACGTAACAAATCTCATCTCAGGCACCCTGCTTTGTCAGATCCAAGATTGCAGGCCGGTGGTGTGGTGGGAAAAGGGACGGACCAGTGATGATGTGTCCGGCACTAAGGAGTTTAGTCCAATCCCTAGAGATGCTAGTCTGTATTTTGACCTCGTGGCTTTCAAATCCGCAGCTGTCATCCAGGAGCCTCCTGAGAGCTGGGAATGTCGTGTAACGTGACGTGGGCAGGAGACTTCGCAATCCTGCTCCAGCGTATTGCTTCCTCACTTGGCGCAGAATACGTTCAATTCTCCTTGTCTGCCTCGTTCCCGCCTCAAGGCTCCGCCGAGAACAATCAGCCTGTAAGAAAGCCACGGCGCGGACTGTTTAACGTCCGAAGCTAAGGTGCCTTGGCAGCGAGCCGACCCCTGTTCTAATTTCAAAACACGTATTTAGTGCGACTGAGTCATAACGGCACTGAGCGAGTCCCAGAGGCCTTTGGTATGGGCGGTTGTGCTAGGTGAGTTTGGGTCCGATGGCCTAAGGAATTTATAAACTTGCGCTACATGCGGCCGCATTCCCCCGGAGTCTTATGTCCATTAAATCCAGTTCTCACCTCCCCCCCCCCCCAAAAAAAAAGACACACTCAATGGTACACCAATGTTAGCCTCGATCTAGTCAAGTTGGGCAACGCCTGACGCAGAAAGAGAATCGCGATTTCAGGAGACCTTGATACCACGCATCCATCCATGCACCTTGGGAATCACCGGCCTGAGGGTTCCGGACTTCCTTGAGGTTGAAAGGGAAAGAAGGATAAGGTCAAAGCAACATGCATGCAGCTTTGATTTTTTTTTTCTTGGAAAGATATATGTTTGGCTGAATGAGTGGTGAAAAGTAGTTGGTTTTGGTACACACAGCATGAAATCAGACTCTACTTGAATCGAGAGAAACTTGAACTCAGTATCAGCAAGACGCAGTAGGAGATTTTCGAGTTATTCTGTGCTTTAAGTTGTGCTCTGCGTATACCATATCCATAGCGAATGATTACACTCGACAGGAATCAAGTTGATCCGAAACACAATACTCTGCTGAGTTTATCAAACAGGATTGGTCTTCGGGGGGGGGGGGGGGAATAGTAACGACGCCGAACCAGACATGAATATCGAGACCCTATACCCCTCCGAGACCCCTGGGCACACATCAACCGACTCCATTTCACTCCATTTCGTCTAAGCCACTCTGAGTATTGTAGCTGAAGTCAGTTCCATTCTTTCATTACTTCTGCCTGACGGAGCATTCTAGACCTCCTTTCAGATACCAGTACTACGGGACTAGATACCGCTATCATCTTGACTATTGGACGTCAGTGATACTCATTATGATTTACGCTGGAATGGCACGTTGTATGGGCATGAGACAACCATGGTGCAACGCATCAGGGTTCAGAGGAGAGGAAATTGGGGACGTACAAGACATGTGCGGGATCGCAGCCAGACCACCAGTTGTTGCAGTCGCCGAACCATTTGTCCCAGTTTGCGCAGACGCGCTCGGTCTCCTGGGTGATGGGCGAGGAAGGCGAATTGAACAGCGTGTTGGCCTCGGCCTGCCTCTCCAGAATCTGCAGTGCAAGACCCTCACTTGCGTGGAAGGCTGTGCATCATCGTGTCAACACATGCAGCGAACATTTGGATGACGATACATGATATCTTACCAATGTGGCAATGCATCAGCCAGGTGCCGGGGTTGTCTGACTTGAAAGCAACCACGACAAAGCCGTTGGAGGGCATCAGGACGACATCCCGCCGAGGAGGATTGGACAGTGTCAAATTAAGCTTGTCTGGCGAGTATGTTTGGTTGGATTGTTGGAGGATTGCAAAGTCATGGCCATGAAGATGTATCTGGCGGCGAATGTCAGTCAAGGTGCAAGAAAACCGGGGTGGATTGGCGAGTGGCCCTCGATGCCAAGGGGAACCTACAGGATGTGCACCAATGGTAGTGCCTCCCAACCGATCACCGCTGAGAACGAGGTAGACCTAATGCATGACACGTCTTAGCACTCAATCTTTTCCTCTCGGAGATGAGAACAGGCGGCAGAGGGATCGGACACATACCCAGCTGGTGCTGTTGAAGTTCTCGGGGATGACGACCCACTGCTGGGGCCAGTTTCCGCTGAAATTATCGAGTTCCTGGATGATAGGGTGACTGTAGTTGATCTGTAGTGGCCTGAACACAGACGAGGTCTCAGGGTCCAAGGAGAATTGGGCGAGGGGGAATGGCTTGCTTCCTGGCTGGAGTCCCGTGACGTTTGACTCGACAGTGAACGCCTCCCCATCCTCCGTGTTGGCGGCCGGCCCTACGAACCAGGGCAGCTTCGGCTTCAGAGATGTGTAAGGCTCGTCCGAGCACGCCAGGGAGATGTTGGGCCACGGTTTGGAAGTTGGGTCCGACGTGCTCGCAGCGTCGTACCGAAGGATGCCCGTGCGCTCATAGCCCTCCTGTCCTGGCTGGCTACAGGTGGTGGCTCCCCATGTTCGGATCCAGAAATTGCCATCCCGGGGCACGGGGTTGGAACCATCATCAGCATCATCCGGGCGAGCCTCAACAATGACTCGGTACCGTTGGCCGATGCCAATGAGGACAGACGTGGTAAAGTACGGCTCGATAGGAACAAAGTCGGAGTCGATGACTTGGAGAACGTGATTATCAATGCTGAAGACGAAGGTGTTCCGGAACGAGGTGTTGATCAGACGCAGCATGTACCTTTTCGCCCGCCCGTTCTGGCCAATCTGCCGCTTTTCGAGCTTCAGGACGAATTCCTCTGGGATGGGTGAGTCTGGTGGCGGGTTTGCTGCGCTGAACCTGGTGACGTTTCCACGGCCGTTCAGGAGAATGCTGGGGTTTTTCAAAGTGGGATTTTGTGTGTAGATCGATTGGAAAGCACTATCGTGGCCCCAGTCCGTCATGAGGATGGGCTGCTTTGGTTCATCAAAGTCGGCCGTGTCCGGTCCATGGATTGTCTGTCCATCAGGTTAGCAAGACGTCTGTCAGAGAGACAGCGACTTCGGCATGCATACCAGAGGGCCCTGAAGTCCGTCGGCGTCTAGATGACTCAGGGTTAGCCATCACAGCATCAATTCGAAGGTCTCAGACCGACCTCTGATAAAGTGAGACACCATGTGCAAGTACCCTGTCTTAGATGCAGCAATCCAACACAGAGCTTCAACACCGGGAGTGCAACAAGTGATGGTATGACGAGTACATCTTCTCAACGAAATCAAAGCCTGTTTGTAGAAGCTACTTACACTGCACAGAGTAATGAGAGTGGTACCAGGAACTGCCATACTGGACAGCCTTGAAGCTGTATGTATATGAATCACCTGGAGAACACCAGTCAATAGGTCAAGGCTCTTAATTCCCGTGAACGATAACACCTACCAGGGGCAATTGGACACTGTGTTACGCCGTTGACGCCATCTGCCTGCGCAGTCCCGTTCTGTCTTATTCCGTGCCAATGGATCGAGGTTCCGTTGTGTAACATGTTGTTGACGACCTTGATGTTGAGTGTGTCACCCCAGCATGCTTGGATCCACGGCCCAGGGTAGGTATTGTTGAAGATCTTGGCCTCGGTAAAGTTCCGACCGTCGGCGTTGATCCAGCCATCGTTCACAAGCAATGTGTAGTTCCTGTGGACTCCGATGGGCGCTTCATGCTCGTAGTCAGTCATGATGTTGAACTCCCGACCATCTGGATGGCGGAGCCAGCATTCACGGTTGGAAGGTGTGGAACAGGGGCGCCATCCCCTCATGGCTCGATAGTCACATCGGAACTGTGTGTCTCCAGGACGGCCTGTCGGGGGCTTGAAGATTGGGTCGCCAGGGTTACCATCGCCGATATGGGGCTTAGTTGACGTGGTTGCTCCGGTGTCAAAGGTGCTGGGGCCAACCGGCCATTCGAGGGAGTCAAGCAAAGGCCTCTGAAGACCCCCAAATTCATTGAAGGGGTCGAAGTTGGTGGGGGAGATCCAAGTGAGCACCTCTGCGAGGGCCACCCAAACCCGCTCAGTAAGACGCATGTTTACACAATGTACTCTCGGGACCGTGATAGAAGCGTCCTGGGGTGTAGTTTTGAGACGTTGGGCGAAATTAAGCGGAAAGTAGGAAAGAGATCGCTTGCTGCAGCAAGAGAAACGCGAATCTCAGGGCACATCGTATTTAAATGGTAGCTAGACCACTGCTAGAAGGGACCTCGCCACCTGATACCTTCTTTCTACCTCCTCCTCCCGGTGAGCACCCCTTGGTTGAATTCATCCATGTGGTCGTAGAACACCCACGCACAGCTTGTCATTTCCAAGGCAGGTAGATGGTGTTGGAAGGTGCGAGGGTCGTATGCCCATACGCTAGCGCTAGCCTACAAATAGGCTCCTTCTAAGCGTTTAATAGCAGGGAGATTTCTCTCCTTAACACATAACAATTAACTATTATTTACTTAATTGCTTTATTAGGTTATAAGCTTAGCATTACTTAAAATATCTTAAAATATCTTAAAATATCTTAAAATATTAATACCCTTATTTTTATAATTATTTTTATACTTAAATCATTAAGATTTTAATATTATTAGCTTTTATTTATATATTATTATTATACTTTATAATAATTGCTATAATTAATAATAACTTATAATAATTTAATACTCTTGCTTTATTTAATATTTTAATTATTTACTCTTTTTTATTTATTTATTTATATTAATTAATATTAATTATTATAAATAAATAAAAATATATAAATATTATTTAAAATATGCTTAAAGATATATAAATATTATTTAAAAAATATTAAATATACTTAACTTTAAGCTTAACTTATTATCTTTCTTAAAGTTAAACTTAAAAGGAGAAAACTTTTTAAATTAAAAAGCAATATAAAATTATGTAATGGGCTTGGGCTAGAAGCCCAAGCCTTATATAGTGTGGCTAAATAATCTAAGAGAGCTTGGATTATTACGTACCTTTTGGCGTAAATAGTTGCTGCTTTGCAGCTTATGGGAGAAGGCGCTAGCCAGCCTGCAGCCCCTCTAGGGCTAAGCCCATAATAAATAATCCAAGCTTTAGGGTTAAGGGTTTAAGTTACGTTTGCCGCAAGTAAATGCAAGCACCCCTTTCGTAAAGAAAAACCCTGGCTTAAAAAGCGATATCGCGGGTAAGCCTTAGGGGTAATTATACTACTATATTAAGGGGGTCCTGGGGGAAGGGGCTATGTAATAAGCTTAGGCTAAAAGCCCAAGCCTTATATAATGTGGCTAAATAATCCAAGAAAGCTTAGATTATTACGTACCTTTTAGCGCAAATAGTTGCTGCTTTGCAGCTTATAAGAGAAGGCGCTAGCCAGCCTGCAGCCCCTCTGAGGCCGAGCCCATAACAAATTATAGCTTTTAATTTATTAACCTTAGTAAATATATTATAACCATTAAGAAATAATTAAATAAAGATATAGCTCTTATAAAATAAGAAAAGCTTAATAACTAAGCCTTTATTATGCTTTTAAGCTTAATATATTTAAGCCTTATAATATTTATTATATTATATAAAAAATCTTTTAATGCTTAAAAAACATTAATTAATTAATTTAATTATAATATTAATAACTTAATTATTTATTTCTTTTATTAATTAATAATCTTATAATATAAAAATAGCTTTAATTTATAAAGCTATTTAAATATATTTTAAAACCTTTAAATAAAACTTTATATTAAAATCTTAATATTAAAATAGGTAATTAAAAGGTTAATAAAGTTACTTCTTAAAAATAATAAAATTAAAGACTTTTTTTTTAATAATATTATTAAATATTATAAATAATATTATTAATAATTTAAGTAATTAAAACTTTATAATATTTTTTAAAATTAAACTTAAGATAATAAATATTATTTTTTATATAAAGGTTAAATAATTTAAAGCTTATTTTACCTTTACTTAAAAAAACTTAATATTAAAAAATATAAAAAAGGCTGTAAAATTTATATTAATAAGTACTAACTTTATATTAAGTAATAAAGAATATACTTAATGCTATATATAAAACTTTATATTTATTAGCTATTTATATATTAATTATGCAAAGCTTATTAAATATAAGGCTAATTAGGAATAAAAAAAGGGTAAGAAATAAGCTATTGCAAATTAAGCTATAAATAAAGAAATTATTAAAATTTTTAATGATAAGGAAGATATAATAATACTGCATATTAATATTTTAATATACGCGGCAAAGCTGCTAATAATTGCAAATACTTTAATATTATGAATTTTTAATTCCAATGCTTTAAAGTATATAATAAAATGCATAAAAGATTTTAGCTCTTTATAATTATGTTTAAGTATAATTATTATTATAAGCAGTAATTAACTTATTATAAAAGGCATTAGCTTTATGAAAATCTTCTTATAATTATTAAATAAATTAATTATTAAGAGCATTTTTATTAATGTTTTATATAATTACGCGCTAGGAAATATTTATTTATTTAGCTAAATTATAATTTAAAAAAGGTTTTAATTAAATGTATAAAGAAATAATATCTTTTTATTATTAAAAGATAATAAATTTTATAAAATATTATAAGCAAAATTTTAATATAAGAATTTTAAAATTTAAATAGTAGAAAATAACTTTATAATATTTATAATATATAATGAATTTTATAAAGCTTTTAGCTATAGTAATTTATTAAAATTAATTGCTTAATGCTTATATAAAAATAAAAATATTATATTAAATAAATTAATAAATCTTTATTATAAATTATATTAACTTATAAAGTTTATTAAGAAATGCTTATATTTATTGAAAAAATAATAATTTATATAGCTATTTAAATATATTTAATTTAATTTATTAAGTAAATTCTTAATAATATTATTAAAAAATTCTTAATACTTTATTTTATTTATTAATAATTATACTTAATTTTATTAAGTTTACTTTATTACTTAAAAAAATAATATCTTAAATATTATTAAGAAGTTTTTAAATATAATTAAAACTTAATTTAATATAAAAATTAAAATATTTAATTTAAATAATAAGGGTAAATATATAAATAAGATAATTATTATAATATTTTAAAAATATGGAATTATTTATAAGAAATTATCCTTTTATTATTATAAGTTAAATAATATACTTAAAAGGTTTATATATTGTTGGCGGGTGCAGGGAATTACGTGAGAAATGGTACCGCGCTGAATTCCGGCTAGCTATAAAAAGCTAGCTTTTACGCTTATTCTAAATATTCTTTTAAAAAAAAAAATTAATTCTTTTCTTTTCTTATATATTTAATGCTTTAATTAAGCTTTTCTTATTTTTAAGAATTTTTAAAATATTTATCTTTTTCCTTTCTTTGGTTTTCTTTTATTCCTATTTTTTCTCTTTATTATATTAAAGCTCCTCCTTAAGTTATCTTTAAAAGGGTTTAGCAGAATTTATCCTTTATTATTTAGGTGGCTCGTTTTTATTAATAATTTAGCTTGGGCTAATTTTAATTTTATGCATTTTTAATTAGTAATAAGAAAAATAAGAAATTAGCTATAAGTTAATTATTTATTGATTTTTTCTTTTCTCTTATTTTTATATTAAATATTGCTAAATTGTTTTATATCTTAGCTTAAAGCTTTAATTAAAGCCTGTATTTATTTTTAACTTATTATAAAAAAGAGTTAGGTATAATTAAACTTACAATAGTATTATAAGTGCCTTAAGATTATTTTTCGGTTTTAGGGTACCTTTTATGCTTTTAATATTTAAATAAAATATTACCTTAGTTTTATATTAATACATTATTAAGCTTTAAACTTATTTTAAGTTTCTTGCTAAAGATTATGCTTAAAATATAATAGTAATATAAACTTAAGACTAAAATGATAAATTTAAATTTTATAAATATTAATTAATATTAATTAAAAGTGCTTTAAACTTTTAATTAATGTTTATTATTATTATTGCAACCTTAAGTTTAAAGTAAAGGGGGCTATAATGCAGAATTAAAATACTTACCTTGCTTGCTTATAGGTTTAATAAATAACATTATATTATGCATTCTTATATTAACTAAATTATATAAAAGACTTAAACTTAAAGTATAACCCTGCCTAAGCTTTAATTAAACTTAAACTTAATTTGCTAAGGATTTAATATAGTATTAATAAGCAAGGCATTAAATATAAATTTAAGGGGCTTTCTTTATTATAGCCTTATTATTTTCGTTTTTTAATGAAATATCCTTTTACTAAGTTTATTTTATTTATTATATTTATTAATACCTTTATTTTTTAAACTTTAATTTAAATATCTTATAATAATTTTAAAGATAAATTTCTTAAAAATAATTATTTTAATTAAAGATATTGCTGCTTTTAAGTTTTTTTATTTTGCTATTATTTTAATAAAAACTATTATAGCATATATACTGCACTTTTAGGCTTAAAGTCTTTTTAAATCTACTTTTATTTTAAGAGTACCTTTAAATCTTAAAAACTATTTATTCTCTTTTACTTAAAGCTAAAAAAGAAATCTTAAGAAACTTATTAAAAGAAAAAAAAGATTTAATTTTGCTTATTATTAATTAAAGCATTAGCTTTGCTTTAATTAAACCCTATAGTTTATTATTAGTAATAAATTAAGAACTTAAATTAATATTTTAAAAGTTTTACTTTTTATTAATGTAATAATTTTATTATAAATAGCTTTATTTATAATTTATAATTTAAATACCTTAAAGTTTAATAAAATTAATATTATT